CTGTCTTCACTCATTAGCTTAAGGGATGTAAGACTAATTCTCCCTTTTACACAAATTGTCACATACTCTCCTTCAAGTCTCACATAACACACTTTTATTTACATTATAATGTTTATAAACAACAATTCTCCCAAATGTTACAAGCGAGAGGTGGACTTTAAGGAATAACTTTCGATGTCTTCATTGCATGTAGATGGCTCCATGTTGACTTACTTTGAATATGACCTAGTTTTATAAAGAAAAAAAAAGTTACGATTTTATACAATTTTTACAAAATTAAGGAATTAAAGAGGAGTGTTAAAAGAATATTTGTTCCAGTGAAGGAGAACTATTAAAGAAACTTCCTCCCTTTCAATCCTCTTAGTTATGGGCTCTAACTAAGAACAATCCTCTTAGTTATTACTGCAAGGAGGAAATGTTACAGGTGTTAGTGTCACACAATTTCATAACGGATGGAGACTTAATCAAGAACAGTGTTGGTTATGATAGTAGTGAAGATAAATTGGTACCTTCTAAGATAAAGGGAATTATGGTGGACATGGATTCAAATGTTTTTGTCAATTGGTGGGTAGCAACTGCAACTTAGTCCCTTGTTGTAGTAGCCCTTCAAGGATCCACAACAATATAATGGGAATTAATTGTTCACATTTCAAGCGGATAAGGTTGGATTGTCAACCTACAGTTAGTGAGTCTTATAACCCTTTTATAACTAAGATTGAAGATAGAGATTACATTATTGCAAACATACAACAAAAGAATTCTCAAATTGATAATGAAAAAGAAGTTGGTTTAATAAGTAATTCATTAATAGTGTTATTTAATCAAAGGAGAGGTTGTCAAGTCATAAGGCATACATACATAAGTTTGACTCCTATAAGTTTGTTAAGTATTGGGTTCTTGTACAAATATATAATTTGCATATTAACAATATTGTTCTATTTTACTTTCAAATACTTCAATTTTGTGTTCCTCATTAAAGTTGTTCATGATGTTCTTATTTTAACTCGAAAGTGTTGTTACCTTGATTAAGAAAGGTATCCAAGCTCTATTGAGTTTGCCTGAGTAGAGGGAGAGCAAATAGGAGATACCTACAAAAGACTCTCTGATGCTTAAGTTAAAATGTGAAAAAATATACAAGAGAATGTATGGTAGAATAAAAGAGAGGAGATACCAAACTTATTTATATATGTGTTAATATTACAACTATCCGATATCTATGAGATAGTTTATTCTTATTTATTAAGCGTATCTCAAATATTTCAAGGTGGTTTCCAAGTATCCTAAAATGAGTTGATGTCCGAATATCTCAAATATTGTCAAGATATTTTGTCTAAATAACTCAGTAGTTATAATATTAAGCTATTTTAGGGTTATGTGTGTATATTCTTTATATATGAAGAACCTTTTAACTAATTTGTTATCTTAGTGGCTTTTAATCATTGTTTAAGTTACTTCTTTCTCTTCTTCCATTTTGTCTTTAGGAACATTGGAATACTTGATTGAGATGAATTAAATGTTTTGTATTAAGCTTTATGGGAGACATTCAATGTAGTTGTTTACCTTTTTTTTATAACTTACCCTTAAACAACACATTCCTTTGTTCTCGATTTTGTTGAATGCACATAAAATAGATGACATTAAGTTATAGGTGGTTCAAAGACTCAATAATTATGTTTTCCTTTTATAGATAACACTCTTTGATGCAATTTAATTTTGATGAATTTGAATCTTCAAAGTGTGGGTGTGAGTAGCTTCTTGAATATACTTTCCTTTATCATAAACATTGTTTGCAAAAATATACAAAAATATAATGTATTAATTATTATTTAAGACTATACAAATGTACTAATTGTAGTTATGTGAAAGTCAAATCATAAATTCGATGTTTGATTATGGAAATACTCAGTTTAAGTGAGTTAAGAGTAGAAATAGTATATTATGAATAAATTTGAAGTTTTACATTAAAAAGAATTGTGAATAAAAAAATTTAATTATTAAAATTTCATTTTCAAAAATTATTATCTTTCTATAATTTCTTTTTTCTGCTTTCTCTCTAACTTTCTCACCCACTTTCTCCTCCTTTTCTAGATCCAAGAACATTTTAATATTATTAAAATAAAGGAAAATATTTTCCCATTAAAATTTTAAATAGAATAAATCTTTTTTTTTAATTTAGAACATTTCAACATAATTACTCTGATAAGAATAATATAAATAAGATTATTTCATTTTCTTAAGCATACTTAATATTGATTAATGTTATCCTAATATTCACATTTTTTTATATGTTTTTTTTAACCCTTAACAAAATCTGGTATAGTATATTATAATAAATTTGCTTTGAAAACTTGTTTGTATTCTTTTATCATTTAGCATTATTTATCATTATATTGTTTTTCAAAGACATATTAAAATTAAAAAAAATATAATGAAGTAAAAAAATCAATTTATAAATAACAAAAACATCTTGATGACATAGGTAATTGTGACCAAGAAAAACGAACCAAAATTTATTCAAGATTATGACATGTCAGAAGACAAGCATATTGGGCAATTTCCAATAAATAATTCTATATCAATTTATTTAACATATTATATTATGAATTACTTTCGAGTATTTTGAATTTTAAGTTTACAAAAATTTAGTTTATATTTTATAAAATCTTTTAATTTGAAAATATTTACATTAACATGAAATAAACAATTAAAAAATCTAGTCACAAATTTATAAATTAGAAAAAAATGATTTAAAAAATAAAAATATTAAAATTACGAGGACTATACATTGTTAACCAAAATTACATTTCACAATTATTCACGAAGAGGTATTAAAAAGAGTAAAAAATAAAAGACATCTTCAAATATACAACTTTAATTTGAAAGCATGACTTTTTTTTTAAATTGAGTTATTCACCGGAGAGACCAGACTTAACATAAATGTAGCCACTGGAGCCATTCTAAAAAGGGAGAAATTTTGATAAAAATAAAAAACATTAATTACAATAATAAGGTATAGGGTAAAGAGATGGGAGCCAATAGTACAATTTATTTATTTTTTTATATCCATTGCATTGACATTTCCACATATTGTGGTCATGTCGTTTATTAAAAATAAATAACAGTACTTTTTTTAGGAAAACTATGTTTTCAGTGCCATGTCATAATCACATATTTATAATTGAATTGACCCTCAAACTGTTAATTATAAGAAATCATGAGAAAAAAAAAAAAAACTTGGGGCTGTGTTTCATTTTAATAATTCTATATTTGTTTGTGCTACTATATTATAGTGAGTCATTTTTGTGCATAATGGTCAAATTTCTGTGATGTAATCAAAATTTTAAAGTGGCATATTTTTGTGATATGATTTCTTAATTGCTTCTAGTATTATTTAATTATTTAACGTGAAAAAGACATTTTTATGTTTATTTTTATATTAAGCCTATGTAATTATATATGACAAAAATAGTAGTGAGAAAAGTTCTTATAAAAAATCGTGTCAAACTCAAGTTATTCGTGAAAACGTTGATTTACAATTAAATACAGTAAATTTACAGTTATTGAATATGAGCTTCAGACCGACCTATTTAAACAATTCTTCCTATATTTTTATTAATATAATAATGGTAAAAAATTTAATAAAAATAAATTAAAATTATTATTATAATATTAAAAAATAAGTTATTTTTTTAAATTGTATAAATTAAGATTATCAAAATATCATTTTTTTATAAATATAAAAAGGACCCTGACAACTACAAAAAAACATCTAATTCACAACTTATTATATTAATATAATAATTATAAAAAATTGATGAAAACAAAAATAATTATTATTATTATTATTATAATATTAAAATAAATTGTAGATTAAATGTTAGAATAAATGAAACAAAAAATCGAAGAACTGTGTGAATTATTGACATTATTTTCGGACTTCGGTAAATAAAAGACATTTGTGAAGAAATTTAAATTATTTAAAAAGTTATAGTTGGAGTCAAAATATCAAATTATTAATAAATAATAAATATAAAAAATTTAAAAACATAAAAAATATATAAAAATAAAACTATAAATATATAAATAAATATGTTTAATAATGATTAAATTTATGAATTAAAATTATAAAATACAAAATTTTAAGAATAATAGTCCTTGTACTTTGAAAAAATGCTTTGCATATATAAAAAATTAATATCATATACTTAATTATTAATGTGATAAATTTTGAAAACGCTAATACATTTTTTTAAAAAGTCAATTTTCTTAAATCATACATTTTTTTACTATTATAACCTTGATGAATTAATGCAAATGAAAATAAATTTTCTTGAAGATTATATTTTTACTGTTACAACCCTAATGAATCAATGCAATTTTAAATCAATTTTGTTAAAGAACAGATTTTAACTATTACAGCACAAAATGAATTACTGCAACTGTAGATGTGGTGTCTCAAATAGAAATTGTGTTTTATTATATTTTATTTCCCGTGTACGTAACTCATTTCATGCCTAATTTATACGCAGTCTTGGAACGTGAATACGCAAACTCGCTTTTTCTTACCAAACTTTTGATTTAACAACATTGACTAGCCCATTGTTTCTGTGGTTGTTGTGGGCTATTTAATTTTATTTTTCTTTCGTACTTCTTTCTAATAAAGTTTTTTTTTTCTTTCTTATATTTTTGACTTTTGTAGATGGGTGAACAATTTGGGTTTAGACTTTCAAAAGTGATTCAAAGTCCCGTTTACTATATTTTTTTTTTTAATTTATTGACAGGATATTCTTTAATATATAAATGTAAATAATACTTAAAAATTAAAACGATATTATTTGTTTGAAACGTACTTTAAGTTTACATTTATATATTCTTTAGTTTTATGATTGAATTATAAGAAATATTAAATTTGATAAGATCATATTAACATAATATTATTTTATTTATTATATGTCATGTTTTTAGTAATGTCATTAAACTTTATCATTATTAAACTGAGAATGAAATTCAGATTTAAAGGTTGGATTGAGTTTCCTTAGATTTAATAAAATATTATTTTTAAATTTAATTATATAATAATAAAAATTAAAATTTTTATTATTATTATCTTAACTTATAACGAAAATTATAAATATAAAATTTAATAAAAAATTAATAATAAAAAATAATAAAATAATTATTTAAAATTAATTGGGTTTATATAAAAGAAAAAAAAACAAAAACTATTTTTTTATAAAAATAATTTTTTATTATTAAATTGATTCAATTAAAATATTATTTTTTATCAATTTAATATAATTTTTTAAGTTTATGGTGATTTAATTTAAATGTACTTTTGAAAAGTATCTAATCGATATTCAAGTCAATTCTTAATTATATAGATTCAACACGTTGATTTGATCTGTTGTAAAATATTGATTATAAATATTATTCAAAATAATTTAAAACTCACGTAAATAATTCTATAAAAAAATTGTAAATTCTTCTTAAGAATATCTACATTCCCTAATTTTCCAAACTTATCCTTGTTTATCCTTTTGCTTTAAACTGACAAAAAAAAAAATTAACTTTCTTCATAGGACATATAAAGCTAATGTGTTGACAAAATTTGGTTGATGAACTTGAATCTCATTTCAATTTTTAATTATTCCTTTTCCCGTAAAATGAAAAATAAGAAAGTTAACGTTCTTCACATGCAATAACACTAAGAAAACTGAAATTAATAAAATTACATTCATTAAAAAATCAAATATATATACTTTTAAATATTTAAATATATTGTTTTAGTTTCTCCAAATTTTGTTATTCATCTGACAATTAAAAAAAAGATAATAGATCACTTTTAAAAATAAAATAATAATAATAAAAAAAGTGTGAAATGATGCATTAAAGGCTTTATGAGTGATGACTAAGATCTGGTTGGGCCGGCCTTTGAATATAAATAAAATTAAATGCCGCCTAACAATTACTCTCTACCAACATTTGAGTGAAATTAAATATTATTGTTGTAACATATGTTATTAAAGGATTTTTTTAAATAAAAAAAATTATATTAAACAAGAGATTTATTATTTATATTTTTTATTATTTTTTAAAATTTAATAGTCTGTAAGTTTAATCTTCATCTTTATATATATGTTTTTAATTTAAAGATTAAAATGACTTATTATTTTGAAAAATAATGATTTAAATATATATATATATATATAATGAATTTAAATATAAATTATTTTTAACATTTTAAAATCTTTCAACTTAAATATAATTTTTAATAAATATAATTTGAGAATAATCTTGAAAAAAAGTATTACTTGAAAATAAAATATTAAAAAAATTAAATTATTATTAATATGAAAAAAAGAAAAAAACTGATAACATCAAATGAAAAATATACCACTCATTTAAAGAGAAAAGTGAAAAAAATTTATTTAACTAAAATTTAATATTTATATAATTATAAAATTATTTATATTATTATTTTTAAATTATTAAAAAAATAATTTTTATAAAATAATTTTTTTTATTCTTGTCGCTATTTTATATTCATATATAAGTAATATATTTTTTTATTATTAAAAAAATAATTATTTTTCACTTATTTTATAACATCAATCACTTTTTATTTTACAGTTCCTCGTTGTACAGGTTAAATTTTGTTTATAATTATATAAAAAAATAATATAACGTTACTAAAATAAAAATTTATTAATAAAAAAAGACTAAAATAATATATTTGGGGATATAAGGAAAATTCAATCGATACCATCGAAGCTGAAACAACAAAATTGGACGTTGTAATATTTTTAATGGATGCAAATGAAATTTTTAAAATTAAAATGTATAATTATAATACATTGAAGAGTTATATATGTAGTGATTTGAATAATTGTAAAAACTAATTTTATTTTATTATTTTACTTTATAAAAAAAATACTTGTGAAAATAAATAACATATCATAATAAAAAGAAAAACTATTACTACTACGACTGCAAAGAAAAAAATATTATTTTTTTAGTGTGAAAATGAAATTAAAATAAGATGTTTAAAGAAGAAAATCAGATTTTATAAATTTTATCTAATAAAATATATTAATATGGTCTAATAAATCTTTAAAATAATTTGACATGATAATCTTTATTTAAATATTACGAAAGAATTAGGGATGGTAAAACGGGCTAGGTCCCATGGACAGAGTTGATATTTTCAGTCCACCAGCCCGCTTTGGCCCCACTGCTAAGCTCGCCATCCTGTCGGCCAACCCACTGGACTGGACGGGCGAGCTAGCTCGCGACTCGCCTAATTAATAAAAAAATAATTTTTTATTGTAATAAAATTAATTATAAAGATAATATATAAAATTAAAAATTTTAAAAAGAGAATTAAAAAAGTTTCATTCTCACAGGAAATATTCTCCTTCCCGAAATATAACTTTCTCTCCTGTTCTCCTTATTTATCTTAAACACTCGATTATATTTATCCTTATTACTTGAATTAAAGGTATAAGAATTACTCAACCAAGAATAATATGAAGTTTTATCAAATAAAAAAGATATAGGTATTTAAATTTTTCAATATAAAAAATATACATTTTATAAGTTTAATGTTATATATATATATATATATATATATATATATATATATTTGTTATTATTTATTATTATGTAAATTTTATTATTGTTCTAAATTATAATTTCTTAAAATAATGTATTGATTTATATTATTAAATTGAAATAATATATATATATATATATTAAATTATTGACAAACAAATAATAATCTTATTATTAAATTTATTAAAAAATATATTTTAAAAAAATATTTTTTCTAAATTATATGGCCAGTACACTAACTCGCCTTGACAGATGATGCTAAAGTCTACTAGCCGTCATGACTATATCGAGTCAACTCACCCCGCCCACTTTTAACTAGCCAAAGGTGGGACGGATGACCGTTTTGCCATCCATAGAAAGAATAACATAAAGCTATTGAATTAGATTGGAGATACTAAAAAAAATGGTAAGAATTATTATATTTATTTCCATGTCTTATTTTATAATTTATTATTTTTATATTATGACATTCTATTTTTAAAATGAAATTCACATCCATTTTATTATATTAATCTTATTTAAATTTGAATATTTAGATATTTTCTACCTAACATTCCGTACTGGGAAATACTTTGGACTATTTTGTTTTGATGAGAAATTGAATTTTTGTTTACGTGTCAATCCTGTAATTTCAAGATTCTTTGAGGTTATTTTGGGTGGATAGAATATATAAGAAAGCATGAATATCTATGTAAGCATATCCAGATAGGGAGAGCCAGAGGAAGAGAAGTTTGACACAACGCACCAGTGTGTCACTGCCCAAGGATCTGTATCTGGGTAGGAGCCGAATAAAACCCTTTTCTGTTTCCAGTGTGGTTGTCACCACCCACAATTTCTTTTTCACCTATTCACTTCAAATCATAAAATTACAAAATTACGCTTTCGTTGATTCTCTTCTCGGATAATTGATTGTTGTTTCCTTTCCCGATTCCTTAGATCCTCTGCTATTATTGTCTCTTAAGAAACTTAGAATACTGGGTTGACTTTAATTTTTCTGGGTTCTCTGCGTTTTTTGATTTTGTGGTGGCAGTGATTATAGCAATGACTTCAGATCGGAAAGTTCACACTTTCGACGAGGTCGCAAAGCACAACCAGACCAAGGATTGTTGGCTTATCATTTCAGGGAAGGTCTGTTTCTTCTCTCTTTTGAAGAATTTCTTATTTGCTTCAATAATTGCTTTAGTATATGCTTTTGGGAGTTAAGTGAATACTTATTAGTTTGGTTAGTTTGTTGATGATGGAGTTTGATCTCTTTGTATTGTTTGTCTCGAGTTTATGCTTTCGTGTGTGGTTGATGATTGGTTCTACCAAGCGCAGCGGTCTAAGTACAAGATTTAACCTTAGAGGGGGAAGGTGTTGTCATTTGGATTAAATTTTTCATTTTTTTTTTCACTTTTATTTATAAAAATATTACATTGTTCTCACTTTTGATTCAGTTTTCTTTTAATAAACAGACAAAATATTGTTTTTAGTATTTTCTCTATTTCCTATACGAACCTTTGAAAGTGGGAAATAAAATGAGATTTCTGCAAATTAAAATAGGAAATACTGGACTTTAGATTTTCACAAGAGTTTGTTGAGGTGAAATGTTTCTCAGATCAGCAGTGATTTGAGAATTGAAGAAATGATTTGCAAGAAAACACCCCAGAAGGATCAAGAGAATTAATTTTTTCTATTTGGACCAATGATTCTTGCATTATGAAATAATCTATTTCAACTTAGGATGGGATAAACCTCACTTATACATCTTTATATACATGTTAGATATAAATAAAAATACACAAAAGAAGCACAAGCTCAGAAGTTATGTTCAACTATGTGCATGTATGTAACTAATGTCATATCCGACGAAGATTTGTTAGGTTTGACTTTACTACATTTTCAGTCTGTCACTAATTACGTAATTACTGTCCAAGGAGTTGCTCATCCCTCATTATTATTACTATTATGTTGGAATCTTTGTCCATATGTGAACTTATCTTGATATCATAGCACACATAGTGATTTTGAGTCCATACCTTTGACAGTGAGGTATCTCACAGACAGCTGAAAATACTAGTTTGTCCGAATGTGTCAAAAAAAGTATGTTAGGAATATATATTAAAATACCAATAGATCCTATTTGTATATTCACTATAATGTAGATGCTTTATCACTTGAATTCATTTGATGCTGAATGATTTGGAATTTGGATTAACCTGCTGATTTATTTAGTTTTTGGATGTGATGTGTGATTTGAGAGAGGAAGTCTTTTTTGAACAAGCGTCCTCCTTGTTTGGGAGTTTCTTAAAGTATTTGGAGGTAGACAATTATTATCATGTAACCCTCAAAAGGCTCCTTTATCAATTTCCTTGGGTATTTTAAAGTTATCAATTTGGGGGGCTTATGATGATTTTAAACATCCAAACAAGGGGAGGGAAATTCATTAGCCTCATGTACCTTTCATTAATTTGATTCTTTCTCCTTTAGTCACCTTCCAACTTCCAAACATTACAGCGAGAACCATGACTACTCTCACAGAAATAGCTGAGTGGCATCCTTTTTATGCAAGTTGTTTATGTTCCTAGTTAAGCAGCAATTTGTTAGTCATATTTTAGGGTGATCCTCCCTAGATACCAAAGGTTTTATTGTAACCTCATTGCTCTTGTGATGCAATTAGATGTCGCCTTCCTGTAACCTATCCTTTCTATACAATACACTGACTCATATGACATTTGGGCAAAAGAAAAACCTCTTTCACTATTCTGAACGATAGCAGAAGCAACCTATTTTTTCACTATTTAAACTTTACCTGAAATGGTAATGCCCCATTTTGAGGCATATTAAAACGTCCTATAGGAGTGCAGAATAGGACCCCATGTATAGTGCATGAGTTTTTATTCTATATCTTGAGTTCTACTTTTGTTATGATGTTAATTTCTGCCACTGAACAAAATAATGTCCTTTGACAATATTAGGTTTATGATGTCACCCCTTTCATGGAGGATCATCCCGGAGGTGACGAGGTTTTGTTGTCTGCCACAGGTATGTCATATCATCTGAAGGTTATTAATAAAAGCACCAAAATGTTACCATATTGATTATTATCACTTTCTGGATTACAGGGAAAGATGCAACCAATGATTTTGAAGACGTGGGACACAGTGATTCTGCAAGAGATATGATGGAAAAATATTACATTGGTGAGATTGATGCATCAACTGTTCCCCTAAAGCGGACCTACGTTCCACCACAGCAAGCTCAATACAATCCTGATAAGTCTTCAGAATTTGTGATCAAGATCTTGCAATTCCTGGTCCCTCTCCTGATATTGGGCTTGGCCTTTGTTGTCCGGCACTACACCAAGAAAGAGTAATTCCTTCTATATCACGTTTGAGCACGGTGAAGGGCATGTTAGCTATTTTCTAGTGTCAGATGAAGAACAGTGTTTAGTTTCTTTGTGGGGTCTGAGCATTGAGTCTGGATCAGACTATTGTTGAGTACACCAATGTTTTCCAACTTTCTTTGGCAATGTCATTATGAATTGAGAACTTAATGTTTGGACTGAACAAGTTAGTTTCCTTTCTGTTTATTAAGGATAGAGCTTCACTTTTTAATAATTTCTTTCTGCGTTTCTTTATTTACCACCCTATCTTTCATCATGAACATGCATGTGCAACATGGTAGGAGCAATTAACTCTTTACCACGCCGAACGTTTTTGTATTACAAAGGAGAACATAAGAGTATGAACCAATAAATTAGAAGATTTGGAGAAGGAGGACATTAAACAGCAATTAAAACTATCATCGGTTAATTTTTGAATTCACATTCGATGGTAAAAGTAGCAGATTTGGGGAAGACAATAATGATGTGGAAATCTTGGAAGGAACAGCAAGACTCATGGGTCAGGCTCTGAAGCTTGCAAAGTGGTGAGCCTGATATGATTTCGTGAAGCAAGGCTCTACGCAACTGCTTCCTCCATTCCCATGTTATATTTACTTGCACACCACGTCTCCAATTAAAAAGACTGTAATGGGTGTGGACTCAAACAGGGAAGATAAGAAATAAAATAACCAATATGCTCTGAAATATGTTTTATTTCTCAGGAGTTTCTTATAATGGAAGTGATGGCTACTAACAAGGTAGCAAAAATTAGAAAACGTCAAAGATTCTAAAGAGAAGAAATTGAGAGAAGGGATCAGAATCATTCCTTCCATGGTTTTCTCTCTCCTCTAACCAACTTTTGATGTTGCTGTCTAGACCACTCATACGCCTCAACCTTGTGTTTGCTATTTTCGGTCTTGAACTTTTTCTCCCTTCCTGATGCATCAGATCATCACTCACGTGTCCTTCTCTAGCTGTCCCAATTTTTGCCTCTTTTACCCCTGTTGATTGTCTTGAATTCCTCCTCCATTTTTTACAACCTTGTCCTCGGGTTGAAGTCATTCATGTCTTTCGCAAAGTACCATCGTTTTCCCAAGTTGATTGAGACTCATCCATGTCTTCCCATTGAGCCAAATGTTGTGGAACATGTTGATAACCCTTAATAACAATTCTAGATTTCAGAATAGCAATAGGCTGTATAACTGGATAAGATTCATCGTTGATAATTGGTAGAGGAAGATATGGTTGCACACGATCACCTCTGCAACGTTTCAACTGGGATTCATGAAAGACTGGATGTATTTTTTGCATTACTTGGCAGCAACAACTTATGTGCGACTGGGCCAACCTTCTCTATAATTGGAATAGGACAAAAATATCTTAAGCTTAGTTTCTTATTCTTCCTCAAGGCAATCGAATGTTGTCTATAAGGTTGTGTCGCCAAGTTCTCATTCTTCAAACCTTGTTTTCTGATCTGCATATTTTTTTCATGTATTGTTGAGCCTTTTTGGAGATTCACCTTTAACTAACCAATTACATAATCTCTTTGCACTAATTGGTACTGTTCCGTTTAAGGATCGAGAGTGTTCTGGTGGATATGACCCTATGATAAGTGAATTCTCATGTTCGAGGTATTGTTCGCAATTCTTACATCCAAGGCATTATCCGCTTTGAAGTTCTTGTCCGTAAAGGTTTTGTCTTTAAAAGGCACCTCAGTGGTTAAGGGAGGAGAGTGTATATAATTTGTCCTTAGATTCTACTCTTAAGAGAAGACACCTCGGTAGGTTAAGAGAGAAGGAGTATGTATGAGTAGAGCGAGATTCTACTCTTGGCCCCACGGTGGGTGCCAATGTTCTGGTTAAGGATTGAGAGTGTCCCAGTCTCATGTTTGCTATGATAACATCGTTAGGATCAATTTCCACGTCTAAGGTATTGTCAGTTTTGGAGTTGTTGTCCGTCATGGTTTTATCCTTAAAAGGTACCTCGGTGAGTTAAGGGAGGAAGGTGTATTTAAACTATCATTGACCTCAACTCCTAAGTAATATGAGACTCATAAGTGTACCGGAACATAAGTCTCCAATCAAGAACTAAGAGGTATGTATGAGCGAAACAAAACTCTACTCTCGACCCCACAGTAAACGTCAAATGTTCTTATCAAGCTGAAGATGATCGACAAGACGTCCGTCGAGCTGAAGATGGTCGGCAAGATAGGAAGATGAAATCGGTTGGCCGTTCTTCAACCAACTTTAGAAACGATCTTTGAAAACTTTGGTTTCGACTCATAAGTTATGTGGGACTTTATGAGCGTACCGGAACAGGTCCTAAACTGAAATGGGATCACTACGCACAGGGACATATTTCATACATATTTCATACGTGTGGAAGGATCTCGAACATAAACAACTGTGAATGGTGTCATGCCAAGATTAGTATGATAAGTTGTATCAGTAACAATATTTTGCTCATGGTAACAATTTAACCCATTCCTTAGGAATGTCATGAGTAAAGCATTTTAAATACATTTCAAGTTGTTCACGGCTTCCAACTGCCTGTCAGATTGAGGATGGTACGCTGCAGACATGTTTAAAGAGGTGCCACTCAATCTAAAGAGATGTTGCCTAAACTGACTTGTGAAGATTTTGATGAAACAATGGTTTTAGGAAACCATGCAATTTCACTATTGACTTGATAAAGGTCTCCGCCACAGCCTTACTTGAGTAATCTGACTTCAAGGGAGAAAAATGTGCATACTTCGATAACCTATAAATTATCATAAGTATGACAGTATAATTGTTTGATGAAGGAAATCCTGTTATAAAATCCATTGTTAGATCCTCCAAATCTGATTTGGAATGGGTAATGGTTGAAGTAACCCAGAAGGAAGAGTGGTTTCTATCTTGGCTCTTTGACATATAAGACAAGTCTGCATGTATTTTTTAATATCTCTACTCATACCATGCCAAAAAAATTGAGTTGAGATTCTAGCCAAGGTTCTAGCATACCCAGCATGACCTCCCAAGAAAGAACTATGATATTCATGCAAGACTTTTTGAACTATCTCACTAGCTGCCGGGATAACTATTCTTCCCTTCCAAAAGAGGAGTTGATCATGAACAGTGAGTAATTGGGATTTGGAGGCTTATTTGCGATGCACAAGTCCATAATGGTTTTTAACTTAGGATCTGCTACTCTGGCTTCTCTAGAAGGATCTTGATAAAGAATCAATTGCTAGATATTCTTTGCTCGACTTATACTCAATAGAGAAGTCATGTCCTAAGAGTTTATGCAATCATTTCTGTTGTTCAGGAGTTTGAACAGTCTGGTCAGTTAAACTCTTCTAACTTTTTTTATCAGTCCCAATGATGAACTTATGGCCAATGGCCAAAGTAAGTAGTGTCTAAACTTGGCAATGACCTCTTAATTGCATAAACTTTCACTTGCATAAGCTGACAACCTTTGCTGCCTAGGGTGGTGGTTTTGGCTCAACACAGCCCCAATGCCCAACCTGAAGTATCTGTTTCAAGAATAAATGGTTGTGAAAAGTTGGCAAGACTAAAAATAGGAGTCTCAGTAACAGTAACTTAAGAGTTATGCAAATGTTGTAGCAGTTTGATCATCCCAAGAAAAATTTTCCTTTTTTAATAAATTGGTTAAAGGGGTAGCAATAGTTGCATAGCCCTTTATAAATCTTCTATAATATCCAGTGAGGCCAAGGAATCCTCTTATCTGTTTTTCATTGGTACGTACAGGCCAATCCAAATTCCATTTAAAGGGCTCGTGTAAAAGCAACCCATGAATGAAAGGGATTGGTGCGAGTTAGCATTTGATACCAAGGAACAACTTCTTCGTCTAGATGAATGGCTGCAATGGTTAAGCGATGTTCATATGCTGTATTGTACTAATTGAAGAATTGCTCCACTTTAAATATCCATTGAAGGACATCTAAACCGTCAAATCGAGGAAAATCCAGTTTTACACTCCTTAGTTGAAATGGTTGTGAAGTGGCAGCCGCAACATGCGAATCTGGACCAACGTTTTGTTTCAATAATCCATCAATGGCGGACTCCAATGTCTCAAATTGAATAGCATTTTCTTTATCTCTCTGTTCCATAGCCTCCAGCAACCGTTTGATATCGGACAAGAGTACCTTTAGGCGAGTATTCTAAGCCATGACATGACTCAATGAAAGCACCAATTTGTAATGGGTGTGGATTCAAACAAGGGTTGAACTTTTTCTCCCATCCTGATACATCGGATAATCACCCCCGTGTCCTTCTCCAGTTGTCCCAATTTCTGACTCTTTTACCCCTGTTGTAGCGGTCTTGCTTACAAAGACCAATTTATCTTTTAGCATATATTTTTAAAAAATAAAACCTACCCCACTTTTCAGGTGTAGGGGTTTCCCAAAAATGGAAAATTTGGAAATATATTTTAAAGTGGTCAAACTAACACGGGTGGGAAAAAATCTAATTACACGCTATCCTTCCTTGTAGCTTGTCCTAATAATCATAAGTTTTGTCAAGCAACTTAATTTACTTTTATGACATGAAAATGTCCAAATATTTAACTAGCAGTTATTTTCAAGAATGACAAACATATTGATTTTACCGTCCTTGATTTGGGAGGTTCATTCGTAAGCAAGAGCTATAGTATTTCAAATCTCTTCAGAGGTAATACAATGATACTATGAGATTTCTGAGAATCAACTTTCGTAATGGCAAACATGTGAAATTGTTTAGCTTTTCCGTTTAGTTGACATATGATCTATGGTCTTCATCCTGTGTTGATCTAGGCTCTGATTTTGCCTTTGAAAATTAAGTTACCATTTTACATGATACATCAAAGAAAACTATCATTCATAGTTTCAATAGTCATGATCTTTTCTATTGAAGATGGGAGATTTATTGACCACTTGTTCTTTGTTTTTCATAGTCAGATGTTCAAACCTTGGATGTTGAGTTTTAATACCAATTAAAACAAATAAATAAAGGTGGACATAACAAAGAAATTGATTTTTTTTTCTACGTATTATTTGAAATAAATTTCACTAATCTGTAAGACAGGAGATAAGATAAACACTTTCTTTTGCAATATGAAAAATAATAGCGTAATCAAGCTAAGGGTGTAGCTGCTTCACTCTTCGATAGAGCTCTCAATAAGAACTATCAAATGTGAGCCAACGCAAATCACAGCAATTAGAAAAAATCAACTTATCACAGTTAGAGGTTAAGTTGATCTTACCCACTTAGCTCGCTACTCATCCATGTAGAGTAGAGTTGAGAATTCCCTTTCAAATAAAAACAAAACAAAAATCCCTTCACTACCATCTAATTCACCAATCCCTCACATTGCAGTACGTCTTGCTGATGTCGTTATACACTACGATCACAATAACTTTGTTGTTGTTTGTGATAACACTCACAACCGAATAGGATTGATAACTTGATAAGTTTATTAACTCTGTATGGTTTCCTCTTATTCTCTTATTAGTTTGGATTCATATTTTTTAATGTTTAAACTCCTCTGTCCATGAGCAAATAAAGTGTATCAGATTTTTGCATCAATCATCATGTTAGTGCTAATATTTCATTTGGAGATTAATGGCTCCTTTTAATTTTCTATGCAAAAATAAAATTTTAATATATTATTTAATTAACTATTTGATGTCTTTTCTTTATTGAGTTAATTTTTTTTTACATAATATTTTATTTTAGGTAAAATCAACATGTATAACCCACAATTATGTGGTGAATTGAATTAGGATACCTGTTATAAAGTAAATTAGGCTAAGTTGAGTAAACTTTTTTCAACTCGTTGTAAATCAATTTTGAATAAATTGCATTGACTCACTTTGCCCAGATCTTCTTATTAATTCAAGAGTTACGTTCAATCTGTTTGCTTCAAAAATTTTCACTAACTACTCAACCATTTATCCTCCATTGCCTCTAGAAGGTTCATCAAAGTAACCTTCAAACAAGATTACAAAACACAACTAATCTTTGTGAGTCTCTCGGACTTTGACAAAAAAAAACAAGTAGGTTTTACTGACAAACGTACTACTAAGAGAGTATGCAAATTAAGCACAATTTCAACAAAAACTTTGTTTAGAAAGAATACGACCACGAAAGCTATGTTCACGACATTATTCAACGAAGTTCACACAGAACTTATTTCTTCGTTGTGGTTTGTTTTGATCTTTACTATATAAACCCTAAACCTTGTAAGAAATATTCCATGATGACTGAGGTTTCTTCCCGTTTTGACTTTCATTAAATGCGTGCAAGAAACTTCGGGTAACAATAGGTCTTGGCTTGCTTTCATTGAAGGCGAAAGAAAAGGTGACTAACCAAACTATTGCACAAGCATTTACTCCAACGGTATATCTTATTTTCACGCTGTGAAAAGTTTGACTTACTTCCGGTAAGGTAGGTGCGAGAACTCTAAATGCACAAATTACTCTTTGAAAGAGGTTAAAAGTGTAAAAATTAGAGGATATAATTCTAACCTAATGAAATGGTAGTTGAATCTTATGATTTCAACTACGCTTTGCTTCATATAACACTAGAATTCGTAGAGAATCAAAAGATTCTCCACTCCTTAAACATGTTGAGTCTTGCGGACTAACTATCGAACTTAATAATGTTGAGCTACTAAATTTGCTTTTGTTTTTTTATGTGGTTTCGAGCCCTCAATAGAGGAGTCTAAAACAAATTCCACAACACTCTGCCTTATCCAATTTTTTATATTTCAATCAGAAAAATATGAAGTATGAAACTGGCACTGAAGTATAAATAGATAAATTATACAGGCTGTCAAATCTTTCCCCAGCAATAAATAAATAATACAAATGAAGTATGAAGCTGAATCTATACGGTTAAGTCTGATTATTTGTTAAATTATTGTATTTTCTTAAGATTTTAAGCATTTAATTTTATTTATTATTTTAATTTTAATGCGTTCAACACTTTTTTTTTTATTTAGAGAGAGAGAGAGAGAGAGAGAGAGATGAGATGGATGGACCTGACAGTTAAGTGGAAGTGTTAAGCCTGTTGAGCAAATGCTGAGTGGTCAACTTACGCGCCATTAAGCGTACAGGCTTAACGAGTACCCTACATAATACCTCAAACTCACATGATATGCAACACGATCGGCGGCTAAAAGAGTCAAAAGGGTTCCTGAGTTCATGTTCAGTCAAAAAGGCCAACGTTCATAATTGTCGACAATATCTCAGCCTCTTCCAACGGTTACATGCACCAACCACTCCTGCTTTTCGAAAAGGTGTGCCCAGATGTATCCCAAATCAGAATTGAAAAAAAAAAAAAATAGGATGGAGTCAACGTGAAAAAGAAGAGGAAAAAAAAAAAAAAAAAAAAAAGATGCCCTCTAAAATCTAGCCAAGTTCACTGCCCACATTAAGGCAACATTGTGGAAACTAAAGCTCGTAAATAAGCAGGGGCCAGTTTCAGCGTGCGGAGATGCCATCTAAATCTAGCCAACTTCAATCCCCACATTAGCCAACAGTGTCCAAACCAGAACCTCGTAAATAAGTAATGGCAAGTTTCCGCATGCAGCAGACTTCGATTGGTTGTAACACAAACTCAACGTCTGCAGTAATTTGAGATGGTGGAGAAATCTGGCAGCTTGAAAGTAAAGATCTTTTTGCCATATCATAAACTGGTTTGGTTTGTTTAAGTATCAAGTGCAGTCAGCGGAATGATGCCTCTATTTTCATTTTGTCATGAAGGGTGACAACCAAGTTATGGGCGTCATCTAGCAGCTTCCAAACATCAAGGTGTCCAGCCATGCCATTGCATTCCTTAATGATCTCATCCATGCTGCTATACTTCTCAATAATCAACTTTCTCCTCTGTAAAACTGAAGCTGCTATTGCGTAAAGCAATAAATCGTCTGTCGGTGGAGCTCGCTGCCTAATTCTGCTCCATGCAGATTTCCCAATACCTGCTCGTATTGCTGCTTGATCTGCCCACATTACTTCCCAAAGACAAAGTGTCTGCTCAAATGTCAACTCCCTTCTAAACAATACCACCACCATCCTATACACAAAAAAACAATCCTCGGCCTGCAGCTTCTGCAGATGCCTAAACAGGTGGCCATCCTTGAACTTGATAATTTTTGCAACTATATCAAGTTGCCTCCTAATACCCACCTCATCAAGCCTGAAATTTTGCCGAGCTTTTCTCATGAATCCAACAAAACACCAGAAAGCCTCATGATCTTCTGGTATAACACTAACTATAGGGGATAGCAGGTCACTCATACCCTGGCAATATCCAATTTCAGGGTCGTATAAAGCATATGCTTCGAGAATTGCAACCAATCGGGCAGCATGAAAGATTCTGCTGGCATCAAGGTGACCATAATCCTTCAATCCAACAGCTTCAGCAGAACGATTTGCCCTACTGTCTGGTACAATGGCTTGAGAAGGGGAGTATGGCATCCATTCCCCATTGGCACGTACTGCATCAAGTCGGATGATCCTTTGCCATGTGGCAAAATCTTCATTAGTCCATAGTTTTGATGGAACTTTCATTAAAGAGGGAGAGGAATTTTCCTTGGGTGTCTTGGAATTGTTATCTTCCTGGCCATCATTAGAAGGAAATGTCTGAATCATCTCAGGCCCATCTGAGGAGTCTGAATCAGTGGAATCGGTATCCAGTGCAGAGATATCAGCATTGCTGATGTTTGGAGCATCATCTCCTTCCAACAGGGCACTAGATGGATCATCTGAATATTCAGCATCTGGACTGTGTTCCTCACTGGAAAGAGATTCTCTGGCACTTGTTGCATCTTCAGAACTAGGGGAACCATAATCTTGGATAAGACTTCCACCATCCCCTTCATAGCTAATTTCACCTATTTCATTTAACTTAAAGCTCCCATTATTGTGCTTTAGCAGTTGCCGGCACTGTCTGCGAAGTTTCTCATACTCCTTTCTGCATTTAAAGGTTTAGAATTAAACTGAAAAATAAGATGAGGGAAGTACACACAAAATGAAGTTTTAAATACTGGAGAAACATGATGGATCCAACATATATACTTACCTATTTTGAGTTCTTATAACATCTCTTTCTTCTTTGGTACTATCTAAGTCATAGCTGTATTAACGAATATGTAATCAGTAACCATAGAGAAGTTCATATAAACGAATACATACGGAAAAGTATGGGAAAAAAAATTTAATGACATAAATGAAGAAGCTCATGAATATCCTTCCCAATGCATAAGATGAAGCAAAGAATCAAGTTTGTGATACTAGAAATAAGAGATAATCAAGGTTCTTCACAACCAAGCTGTGCAACACAGCACTAAAAATTTAACGAGGAGCAAGTATTTAAAATCACACCGTGTAACTCCATGTTCATTTTGTTTCTCATTCATGTACATAATCCAAATTTCATAGATCCCAAATATGAATGAAAAATAAATAGTAACCATAATTTAGATATGAAACACAAAAGATAGAGCATGCTTACACTCCAAGTAGGAATGGCCAAACCTCAGCTCTAATACTAGGATCAACACCCTGCATCAGATATTTATATGTAATGATGTTGAAGGAGAATCGCCAAAACCAAAAAATATAAAATCTAAATAATCATATTAGTAAACTCACTCCGCTGCGAACTCTTTTCAGGAACTTAATTCCACCATCCCTAATTCTCCCATCTTGGGTAAACAAGCTTTTCCATTGCTGAGGTGAAAGGACATGTTTCCTTTTCCTCCGTGACCATGGTGATTTAAGACGACCCCTGAAATTGAGCCACAAGGATACTTTCAGTACTATTTCTTGTATTTGAAATTTAGATTAGAGATGTACAGGGAGTAATCAAGTAAGAAATTCAGGAGTGAAAAGGTACACAAATGTACTCTCCCAGATTAGCAGCAAATCACAGCACTGCAGTATAACAGATAATTATTTTCCAAACCAATTGTGGCTTACGTCTTTCCCCAAGGAAAAAAATTGAGCATGCATATAAAAGTTTTAGTATTTTAAATGACAGAGAATTAAAAGCCATCAATTTCAAAGTTAATATTATAATATGCAGCAATAATTTACACTTCAAAATGAAATATATCAGGTTGGAGGAATCCAAGTCTATTTCAACAACGGACTTCCAATGCAATGTGAAGTTCAGCACTGACTTGAACAATATTACATATTTGTCGCTTTGTGTACAACTAACTTTATAAAACACAGCCTTGGAAAATTAAAACAGTTGATTCCAAAATCCAATGAGATTATGGCATCGCCATTTTCTGTTTAAATTTTTAACTTTAGTACTGAAGAAGTAAAAAATATGGGCACAGCTAAAAAAGGAAGAGTGCCTGCATATAAAAGTTGTATTTGAAGAGTTTATCACATCAACAACCCTCAGATGTATTCTAGATTAGAACTTCAAAATTGTAAACCTTCTTAGATTTAATAGGTCATGAAATATATTTTTTCAGTCTCATTGAACACACTCCTAAACATACACTACATAGATCTTCATTTATAGCTTAGAAAGACCATAAAGACAAACAGGAATTTTGATGTCCGATCAAGATCACCATTTAGTTACGGTTTTTCACCCACTATTGAGTTGACACGAGGAAAGGAATAGGAGGATAAATAGTTAGAGGGAAGAAGAAAGGAACTTCAGATTAAAGAAATTTCCTACCCAGACAAAAAAGTCTCCACCAAAACCAAAAGAGAGATCTGTCTCCTTCCAACTACCTTGTCCTCCTCAACCCTACTTCTCCTTTCACAGACAAATCAGGATTACTTTTTTTAGTTATCGAAAACATTGTTTGGGATTCCAACAAATAAACGATTCAACCAGCGAAACAAACAATAAGACCAAAATGCCGCCGAACGAAAAGACCCAAAACATAAACACAACACACACAAGCCGATCAACCTAAGCGGACACTGATAGCAACACTGGGATGCGCAGAAGTGGAGATCTGGCACGAAATAAACACAAAAGTGACAGAAATCTCAGCACTGAATAAAAACAGTTCAAAAAAAATGAACAGAGAGTAGGAGAATGAAGAAGAAGAGCTCACCGATCAGAGGACGAACAAGAAGCAGGTGAGGAAGAAGTGACAACGAATAGAACCGATCGCAAATGGATCCACGAGGAGGTGGACGACGACGATTGCGACGACGACGACGAAGGAGAGGAATTCGACGACGACGGTTGCGAATTGAGACTTCGTCTAAGGGGATTCATCTATAAACTCCTTCTATGTACACTTTTTCAGTCTTTTGTTTCCCCGTTTAGTATAACTAAATCGGAATCCAAAACAGTATCCTCTAGCTAGGGCTTTTGTGATTGCAACGATGCTCTCTCTAACTCTTTCATTCGAGATGTCTTAGGTTTTCACCTACTAGCACCGCAGAATAGTCCGGCGACGAAAGCAAGGCCGGCGAGGGCTGTGAAGAGCACCGCCGGAGTGACCGCCGCCGCGGACATCGAAACCAACCCGGCGGCGCCGGTGAAGAAGTGAGTGTCACCGGTGGAGTTCGAGTGAGTGGATGTGACCATGGAGAGTGAAATTACGATAATGCCCTTTCCGTGATCGCTCGTTCCAGACTTTGTTTCTCGGAAGCGAATCTAGTTTGAGAGAAAGAATAGAAGAGAAGATAAGAGAAGAGAGTAGAGTCTCCCTCACATCACACCAAAGCAATGGGAGTGTGAAAGAGAGAGAAAGGACTAAGATGGAAATAAATAGAAAGATTGAAGGAAAGGAAGACTGGTAGAGTAGGAAAAGAAACCAAACCAGAATCTAATCTAATATGCTTTGGGGGAGAAGGGTGTGCAAGTGCCCAAACGCTGCCGTTTCTCTCTCCCTATATTATCACATCATTCAATCTTTCGAACTAACTAACTAATCTCCCAATCTTCTTCTCTTCTTTGCTAAAGCTGGGAGGTTTCAATTAATTAATTATTAATTATTAATAAAATGATAAATTATAATAAATATCCTTCTAATCTAATCTAATCATGGGGTCAATAACTTTATTTCCAGTAAAGCTATTAAATGTTGCAGACCTATACTTCCGTAATATGAGTAATTTCTTTGCCCTTTTTCAAAAGTTCTTATCTCTTTTTTCCTTTACATTATTGAATTAAAATTGCTCTGTTAAAAATTAAACCCAATCAAACTGAGTTTTACTTTAACTTAAGTTTTATAGATAGAATAAGTATTATTGACAAAGACTTCGTTAAATATAATTGACCAAATATTTAAACAGAAAATCAAGTTGATATGGTTATTGACGTGCGAGTTTAGGATTTTGAACGGGTTACTTATCCAATTTGCTTTCATATTAATTAGGTTTAAGAAGAAAACATGTAATTTTTTATGTAACAAACAGAATCGCATGACAATAATCTAATTGAGATTAATCGTGGTAATTCAAGTTTCTTTCTCCACTCACATGTTCTTGTGTTTTTTCTTAAAAAAAATGCACACTATTAACTATTCTGCTTAAAATATTACTTGGCATGTGATGTTAAATATTGTTTATACATTGGGGTTTTACATAATTGGCAGTTGAAACAAAATGTTCATATTTATATGGTCTATTATTATTGACTTCGAAGAAATTAATGAACAATCATTTACAATTAAATTTTACTAAACTTGTAACTACTATATGAAGTTCTTTTATGGAAAATCATAACAATTATAGGTATTCAATTAAATTTTATTATAATTATAATATACATCTAAAACTTTCTTCTTAAATGGGGTCTTATATAAGTTTATTCAGAGGAAGTCATTTTTTTCCCCAAATAAACTCTTTCCCAATCATGCAAATGAAATTAAAAAAAAAAAAACTCAAATATATTCAACACAACATACTTTAATATTGATTTTGAATACTAATGTTTATTTGTGATTTTCCTATCCGAACAAGTAGCATTTATAAATGTATAAACTACTTAAACTATCTCCAGAATGTGTGACATTACGTAATTTAAAAAAAACATATATTCACACGCTTAGTTATTATTTAAAAAAATATTATACAAATATCTTTTATGCATTACACTAGTCATTCTTTTGTTTGAAAAATAATACAATTTATAATTTTACAACGGAGATAACTACAAATATTAAGAATAAAAATAATACTTTTGTGAATCGAATAAAATCATTAATGTAATTTTCTTGTAATTTTAAGTCTTGCATAAAGCTTGAATAAGAAATTGAAAAATCAACATATTTGTAGAATAAAAAAAAGAATAAAATTTTGAAGAAGTATAATGGATTAAATTGTTCATATTGATAAAAATTATCTTATTTACTTTATTTTGATGGATTTATTAATTCATTTTATTTAGTCTCAATTGTTAAAGTATTGCGATTTAAAAAGAAAAAGAAAAAACACTCACAAATTATTACTGCCAATGCAAGTTTTTGTACCTTGTTTGAAACATGATAACTTTTATGATTTATTATTTGAACTTTTTTTCATATGGGAAAGGACTATTATAAAAATTGAATTATTTTTTCTAACTATTCAATTAAATTATGATTATTGATTAAGTCAAATTAAGTTTATGTTATTTTTTTTATATTCTCATTGACATATACAAATATTTGTGAAGACATCATTAAATATTGTGAACAAGAAAGGAAATGTTGATGTGAAACGTATAATTAGGTTGGAACCAATGTAGTAAACCTAAAAAAACTAATATAGTGTGAGATAGATAAATATTTATTTTTTACTATAAATTAAGGATTTATCCAGAACAGGTTATTTATCAGCCTAAAATACTAAACTATATTACTACAATAGCTAATTAAAACTAATGAAGAAATTTGTAATATATTTTAAATTATCATAGATGTATACATAGTATAAAAACTTTGGTAATAACAATTTCAATTGATAATTATAGTCCTATATTTGATTTCAAAACTATGAGGTTACTTTGGTGAAATCATTGATTAAGACACCACATTTTTATTAATTACCAATTAGTAACCAGACACTTACATCTAATATTCGGTCAAAAGCAGGTTGAATTTGTGTGCGTAACTCCACCGACTTGTACGTATCTCGAACTAAACTTACGGTGTTTTTTTTTAATCATTTGAAAATGTGTCATGTAATTGCGTATAATTTAAAAGTTTGTGTAAAGTAGTGAAATTTTCCAAAGGAAAAATTAGCTGTTGATATAATAATCCATGCATAATTTGTTTATCACTTTTTTTTAAAATAATAAAAAATTATAAAATGGATTACTTATTTTTAGAATAATCGAATTTATTAGATTAGATTGGATCCACTGGCAGTGTAATTAGCGAAGGTAATTTGGAAGCAGGCCAAATTTTATTAGGTAGGGTTCTTTGAACCGGTGAATTTTTGTAATTTTTAATTAAAAAAAATGAGAAAAGGACAAGTATAAATTGTCAACTAAGTAACTAACAACTGACGTTGAATTTTCTAATTTTTAAATTGTGTATATGAGAAAAAAAATTTAGAAATATCAGTCAACAAAATCAGGCGCAGTTTTTTATTCTTTTTATGATAATTACTTATTTTATAGCATAAAAAAGTAAGCAAATTATTTGAATATCGTATAAAGAAAATTTTGAAAATTAATTTAAAATGTCAGACGTTAAACAAAACAACTAATGTAACCCTTCTCACTACTTTCAAATTAAATAACACATTTTATTTTTAAAAATTATAAATTTGTATCATTAATAACTAAATCATTAATTTTGAATGGGATAAAATATATTTTAAAAATATAAATATCTTCAAAGAAAAAAGAAAAAAAAACGTCTTCACAATCTTACAGATTTTTTATTATGATTTTTCTTTTTGTGAAAGAAATCTTATGTTATGCTTAGATTTAGATAAAGAACGTGAAAAGGGATTAATTTATAAAAAAAAAACATAAAAATTGAGACTTGAAAAGTGAAAGATATATTTTCTTATCTCCCCTTTTATATATTTATATAATAGATTATGTCTCCAATTTTTAAAAATATTATCTTTTATTTTTTAATTATCATAATAAATAATTAAATAAAAGTATTAAAGTAATAATTTATTTATTTAAAAGTAATAAAATAATATTTTAATTAATTTGATCTGTTATCATTTTTTACATATTTTTATTATTTATTTTATTTTCTTCAATCTAATTAATTTTTTTTTCAAATTTATTTTCTAATTCAAACAACAAGCTAAAATAGTAGAGATAGATGATATTTGATACCATATGATACTTGCTATTGTTGTGGGGTCCATTGGTTTTCCTAGTTTTTGTTTTGCCATCAATTGCTACTTTGAGATCCGACAATGGCCTCTATAAAAAGTCTCCCAAAATGATATGTGTGGTCTTCCATAATTTATCACAGACACTATTTGCAATTCCTTTGCTGCTATAGAGGCTTTTGTTTGTTTGGCCACAACAGTCCAACATTGTCATCATGAATAAGCAGCTTTTAAAACACCATGTATTGCCTTTTAATGCACAAATATTTGGTTAATATATCTCTTGTTTTCTGCGTTAACAGCACTCAACAACAGTGTCTATTAATTGGGTTATTGAGGTGCAAGGTAGCACACACAACTTTCTTAAAAAATGAGAAGTAAAGAAAGGAAGAAAAAAAGAAAGGAACAATCTTCCAAGGCCCATATGCTTTACCTTTTGAATATTTCATGTTTTATAGGTCCTTTTCATCATCTACCACTATGATGAAAGAGATTCCATAAAATATACAGTGACTCCAATCCAAAGAGAGCTTTGTCTTCTGTGGGATAATGACAACACCACCATGCCAAAGTTGTGTCCTAAGTATTGCCCCTTAATTACAACATTGCACTCTCTGTTATCACAAAGTATGACCTTAATTATGTGAAGTGATTGCAGTCAAAACTGCTAATCATGAAGTGTTTGCTTTGGGTTTTAAGCAAGTCCCATTCTTGATTGTGACTTATCTATAGTGGCAAAGTAAAAGGGTATTAATTCTACCCTGAACCAACTAGCTAGACTACAGAAACAAAAGGTTAAAAAAAAGGAAAGTTTTCACCTAAGCCTAATTATTGGATTTAAATGGAATATATGTAATGGAGTTCAAGTTCACAGCATTGTGGTACAATTTTTCTTCAGTTTTCTTTTTATTCCCCCTCTTACTTTTGAACCTTTTGATTTATAAATATGCTCAAGTTACATGAACCTGACCAATTCGGCCTGATGTGAAATTTATAGGACTGTACATGGTCTAATCATGTGGGACATGAATAAAGCTGGGATGCATGGTACTGCAATAAACAGAATGTGCTATATGCAGGGAGTCTTTTACCAAACATGCACTAAAGTAACATTTAATGCAAAAAAGTGTGTGGAGGGTTGATGAGAGCAAAGCATAAACTAAAACTACTACATGAAGCATAACATTATCTTCTTGGAGTAATCATTCAATTTGATTGCAAATTGCAATAAAAAAGATTCAGGTTTGAGAAAATGGATGCGGGATTAGAAACCGAAGTATACTTTACATGGAAATGAAATGTGTACAAAAACCGATGCAATATAAAACCACAAAAGAAACATAAAACGTTGTGTGAAAAATTTTTAAGTATGATGGACGAGGTAAGGAGTGCATTGTTTGCATCCCCCAAAATTGCATTGCCCATGTGGTTTGAGGACATTTCTTGCTTATAGTAAGTGCTAAGGCAAATAAACACACTTAAGTTCCCCTATCGTGAGACGCGTTTTAATATCAAATTTGTAATTGAGATTATATTATAATAACACAACAAGATTTAAAATTAATTGTATCAAAATCAAATCCACCTAACTTTAAATCAAATGAACCTTTGTTCATCTTACAAGTCACAAGTTGCTATCGGTAGAATATTCTTGGAGTAACTGTTCAGTCTAACAAAGTATGTGTGTATCCAAGGTTTTCTCATATTTGATGAGATCTTATTCATGATCATCCTAACAAAGACGTTATGACATTATCCTATGTCTCTGTTGGGTTACTTGTCAGGTAAATTAAGCAATCAAGCAATATAATGAGGTGTTGAGTGGGCCAACACCTAGTACTCCTTTTACCACGATCTATCTATTGTCTGCAAAAGTAGTGGTAGCTTGGCACCTTCTCATGTATCAGACAACAACTAAGGACTAAAAAAAAAATGACAACAACTAAAATAATTCAAAGAATCCGATTCAATGGCCCCAAACGAGGTTACTCTCTCGAGTGATGGTTGGTATTTTTGCTCACAAGGTAGGGAAGCACCAAGGTTTGTTGTCATGCTGACTTCTAGGCTGTGTCTTGTTTTATTTTATGTTTTCTCACAAGCGAAATTTGGCCTCTCAACATGCATTTCTTCACATGATGAAAATCTTCCTTTAACCAAAGGGTCGTTTGCAGGAATTTGTAAATAAAATCATTTATCAGGTGCCAATTTATCATTGATTAGTTCTTTCTTTTCTTATCTTCTCTTTTCAGCACAGTAATGCTTTCCATAATTTATATATCCTCACGCCTGTTGCTGCAAGCCGCGTCCTCATAATAAGGTAGCGTCTCATGTACAACACGCAAGCTTAAAAATATCTCCACGTGGAAGTACCAAGAACCGTGTAGGGGTCAACACATGATGGCACTGATTGTGGGAAGGACAATAATAAAGACAATTAACATGAAGTGATTATTTGATTCATTTCAATGGCAACGACGGAACAGTGGCATTTAAATCGAATGAACACGTCCGTTGAGAGGGTGGGGTTGGTGCATATTATTAATTGGAAATTTGTGAAGGAGAAGAAATAAGATATTTTGAAGCAACATAACTTAATATTCCCCTTATTGCCACAAATGACCAAGGATCCCTTTCCGGTGCTAACTGTTACTGGGAATAGGAAATTTAGCACGAGATAAAAAGATCTGTTCTTCTGATACACAAACTCAGATGTAAAGGTAAATAACTAAGCACAACATATAGAGCTACTGGCTTTGCTGCTGAATCTACAGCTTTGAGGCTGCACCTTTGTCTAAGAACCATTTCAACTCCCCTTCAGGTGAAACCAATCCAGCAGGAAGCTTAGCAGAGTTTTGAGATTTGCCTAAGACAGAGTGAACTGCATCTGCTTTACCCTTGCCGGTTACCACAAGTGCTGCGTAAGCAGAGGCATTAATCACTGGAAAGGTGAAGGTTATTCTCTCTGGGGGTGGTTTGGGGGAGTCCTTGATGAAGGTAACCCATCTCTTATTCTCCTCCACAAGAGGATGCCCTGGGAACAAAGAAGCTACGTGGCCATCAGGGCCCATGCCCAGCAGCATGAGATCAAATTTTGGAAATCCGCTGGCTGGTGATGTGGCAATCACGCTGTTCTTGACTAGTTGTCTGAGGCATGTCTCATAATCATCGGCTGCTCCCTCAGCTGAAAGGGCATCATTGATTGCATAGACATTGCCCGGAGGAATTGGTACCTGCCATGGGAAACAAGATAGAAGTACCAACAGGTTAGATTGACAGAAAAATTATGCTGATAGAAGACTAGGAAGCGAGACAGCATAATCTGGTCATGCAGTCATCTTAAAGAAAATTACACCAAAAAATATAGCTCATAACTTGAAACTGAAGGCAGTTATTTTCCTCCCTTACATAATTTTTAGGAATGACATGGTTTTTTTTTTTTGTTATAATATTTGACAGGTGACTCTAGGAATGTCAACTTAACTGAAATGTCTAGTTTTCACAATGATGTTTTTATATAGGAAAATGCTTCATGAACACCCAACCAACCCCTCTACACCTAATATGAGAAAAAAAATAATAATGAAAAAGTAGGTTTATAGGAGATATGATGTGATAAGTAGAGAGGGATAGAAATAAATATGAGGTGTGCAGTAGGTGCATGTATAAAGAGGTGAATGTGAATCATCACTAGTTTGTATAACCCCTTTATTAAGAAAAAGATATACACTGAATAAACATGTCAAAACAACACCCTACTATGCAGTATCCAACAAAGGGAATTCCTTCACCTGATCATCTATAATGAAGTAATATCTCCATGAAATGCTTGTAGCCTTGTACCCATCCATTTACTTTTAGGACTTCTCATAAATATATTTTAGTTTCCTATGGTATCTTAAAAACATTAAGGTTTGATATGAAGTAGTTTAAAGGATTCCTCTGGTCATAGGTTACACTATTTTAGAATTCAATTTTTGTAGGAAATAAAAAATGTTTACAAAGCCGTATGGAGACTAAAAATTAAGAAATATAATGACAGAGACCAATGTGTACTAATATAAGGACTAAGACCCAAGTTTTTTTTATCTGATCTATCTGGTGGCACATGCAGGGAGTTAATGATTAATTTGTTATTTCAAACTATTACTCCCTTAGAGAGAAATGATAGCAATATACTCTTTTGAACACACTCTCTTTTGGCTAAAATTGATTCAAAATCCCAAATTTTTTATGACCCATTTCTAATTCAATGAATCTCTCCCATATTTCTCTAGTTTACATAAATTTCAATCAATTGTAAAGTGTATGTTAAAAAATGTTTGTTACTACTTGGCATCACCTCTCTTTTGTACAAAACCAAAATACATGGTTAGGCCTCCTGCTTTTCAATAAATTTTAATCAAGAACAGACTATGTTAGAAAAAGTATAGCGCTCCTATTTCTTAGAATTGTGGACATGGTTAGGTCTCCCCTCTACTAGTTTTCAACAAATTTTAACCAATTGTAGAGACTATGTTAGAAAGTGTGTTATCCTAGCACTCCCCAAATGGAGTCAGACTCCAGAGTTCCAACCTTTGGCCTCCTCAGGGCATAGGGTTGCACCCAAAACCTATTGTATGTTTTGGATAGCTTGATTCTTTGGGATTGTGGGTGGCTTGAGCATAAACATGTCCAAATTTCATGTTGTATCTGATTCCAAAATGGGTTCCTATCCTTACAAGGACTGGTTTTACAATGGAAAGCATGTTCAACATAAAACATAAAACATTCTCAAGAATTTGAAAACATGTTCAACATAAACGAACAATCCATGCTCAACCTCAACAAAAGCTTTTCCAGCATACACAACATAATCAAATACCTTGGAGAGAAGTCCATCTAAAGCAAGCTTGTAGTTACTATCATCATGAGTCTTAGGCACGACCCTCTCATCCACCCAAAACACATGCCATTTGGACCATTCAAGAGAATCAACATAAGGCGGTTCCAGCAGCTTCCTGAGACCCAACACAAAAACACATTCACATTGATCTAATTCAAGCGAATCACCCTTCGGTTCAAACCAAAGTGAGAACATTTTTATACGAAAAATAACCCTCACCTGAGATAGTTGATCAAAGAGCCACCAGACAAGCAAACAGTGAAAGCCCCTCTTTCCGAAGTGAATTTATTGGAGAGATCGGCAACGTATTTGGCCAGAGACACGGCAAGATCATCTTTTTCTAAGACCTCAACGGCAACGTTGTTGGTTTCCGTCATCGACGCTTTCAGCGGGGGAGAAAAGCTCTTGCGATTGACGCTAACCGCTTTGAATGTGAGGGGGCGAGAGAAGAAGAGGTGTGTGGAGAGTGGATGGAGGTTGCGGTTGGGGAAGGAGGAGAGTGGGAATCGGAGAGTGTTGGAGAAGAGCGTAGAATGGGTGTAGGCCATGCCACACAGGTGGGTCTTCTTATAAGCGCACTGAAATCGAATCAAACCAAACACAGTGGCAGTGACAGAGCCTGCCGTTTCTTTCTTTTCTTCCCTTCCACCATTTATTTATTTCTTTATTGACCACGCGATATCAACGAAGGTTACTAACGTTTTAATTAAGTTTTAAACAGATTCAATTTAATTATTTATGTAGCTACTTTTAATGTTTTTAAAAAAATTAATGTTAATGGCTTTTTTAAAACCATTAATATTTGTTTTAACTTTTAATTAGTATAGATAATTTTCTAACCGTTTTAAATTAATGAAGCCAGTAGGATTAACGTGTTTTAATAAAATGGTCCACTATTTATTTTATAACCATTAATATTTTTTTCTATAAATTATTTGTGTTGTGTTGTGTGTTTTAAGAAGATTGAAAATAACGTAATTACTTGTAGGTAAATTTAATGTTTGAATATTTGTGAAAAGAAAACTCTTGATTTAGATAGAAAATAATAATGTAATAATTATTTTTTATTATAAAAAATGTTTACACAAACTCAATCATGTCATAGTATTCATTCAGGAATCAAACGAGAAAAATATCCATTATCTATGCATTATTTAAGTTTAGGATTTTTGGTTGTATTAATTAATAAATATTATTTGATTCTGATAAATACTTTATTAAAAATTTATGATAATTATTATAAGAAAAAACTCTCTTAATTATGTTCTAGAATATTTTACGACTAGTTTCTAGTTATTTTATTTATTTAAGCTAATTGAAAAGTTTAATTGACCTCATTGATAAGCAAGTTTTTATTTAATAGTTTGTAATGTTTGCTGAAACAATATTCAAAGTTATGTGTTTTAATACAATTAATAATTACAAATTAATAATATATGATAGAGTTATTAAAAATGTAATTTTAATGAAATATAACTTGCGTCATAAATTAATAATTTAATTGCATTGTAAAATAGGAAGGATTACATTTTTTAAAAAAATTTAAAAATAGTTTACAAATTATTCTGTTGTATAATTTTAATTCAAAACCTGTTTCAGACAAAGATAATAATATGACAAATTAGGATAAAAATTATAAAATAATTTTAACAATATTATGGTAACGAAGATGATTATGTGGTATAATTATGGGTGAAGACTTAAATAATAAAAAAATGAAATATATTTTTTATCAGTTTTGATTTTTTTTTTATTTTTAAATATATATATGAATTTTATTAACAAAATAATAAAATAGATGGTTTAATTTTTAAAAACTAAAAAACTGAATATTATTTATAAAAATAATGTACAAGTCCTTATAAATAGCTTTTATTTAGGGTGGTAAAACGGGTTATGTTCGACCAGCTGACTAGTCTGCAGTAATATAACGGGACGGATTAGTATTTTCGATCCGTTTTTGCCTGCCAAGTCTGCCTAACCCGTGAGGCGGGGCGGGCCAACCCGCGACCCAATTTACTAATATATTTTTTATTGTGATACAATACAAAAAATGAGAAAGACAATATATAATATAAAGATTTATGAAAAGATAATTCTAGAAGTCTCGAGTGTCTCATAAATTATTAAGAGAATTAAAAAAAATTATAATTACTTAAACTCAGATTAAGGGAAACACTTTCTTTTGTCAAACACAAACCTCTTTCTCTTATCCTTTTATTCATCATCTCCTTCCTACTCATTTTTTTTCATAAGGTAAAAATCATATATATCTCATACTTTTCCATATAAAAAATTGATTTAATAAATTTTTACTTGTTACATACATGTATTTATTACTATATAAATTTTATCTTAATTTAATTGTTCTAAAATATAATTTATTAAAATAATATATCAATTTAAAAAAAATATATATATATATATATATATATATATATTGATTTGTTGACAATGATAATTTTATTATTAAATTTATTGAAATATTTGATTTAAAAATAATAAAATAAAATAAGAAATATGACGGATCAGCTACGCTAGCCCTCTAGTCCGAGGTGGACCGGGACCTATAGCCTGCAATGACTATAGCGGGCTAGCCCACCCCATCCCGTTTTTAACGGGACAAGCCAAAATGGAAGGACTGACCCGTTTTGTCATCCCTAATTTTATTATATATGCATCGAAGTCATTTTGGATAAAATAATAAAACAAATCGTCTTATATTAATGTACTTCGTTAATTATAGTTTTACATCCTTTTAATGTGATTAATTTAGTATATGAACACAAATCATTTAAAAAAATATATATAAGCTAATGGTAATAGCTCTATACACAATTAATTATATTTTTAATGCTTTTAATGTAATTAATGATATAAGATGATATTATAAAAAAAATAGACAAAATAAAAGTAAGGTAATCAATATAAGACACAAATGATATACTTTCAATTTTGAATGAATGATTTTGGATTTAATGTATATTTTGCATTATTTTGAAAATTAAACTTACTTGCTTAACTTATTAACTAGAAATTGTTATAGAAATTAATATGTTATTTCTAATAAGTAAAAAATAATCTTTAAATAATAATTATTTAATTATATTATTATCTTATTTTAATTATTTTTTATTTTTTAATATATTTTATATTTATAATATTCATTATTCATTATTATAATCATAATAATAATAATATTTTTTTATAAAGATTATTATAGTTAAGAAATTTGTTATATATTTATTATATTATAAAAATATTATTTTATTAAATTTAGTTGACATTTAATTTTTTTAATTTATGTATTTATTATATAATAAAAGTATTATTTCATTAATTGAATATTTAAATTCTTAACCCTCAATTAAGTTATTAATCTAAATTTAAAAATATCAATATTTTATAAGTTTATTTAAATTTAAATTATTAATATTTTTACATCGAAATTATTAGTATTTTTTACATTGAAATTATTACTATTTTTTCATTCTTTAATATTTTTTCTTTATTAAATTTGATTTCTGATTTAGTCCATATTGATTTATATTTTAAATATTGATTTTTAATAAATGTTAAATTACACAAATAAATTACTTTTTAGGTGAAAAAAAATAGCAAAACATAGTTAGTAAAAAGAAATTTAATGTGACTATGTACCTTAAAAAGTCTTATATAACAATAGATAACTAAAATGATAATACTAGTGTTAGGTAATTGTTATTTTATCATAAAAAAAATTGTAAATGAAGAAAAATTTAGGGATAAAAATGGATCTTTTACGTAGTTGGGTAAAAAAAAAATTAAATTTATGTAAAAGGGTCAAATTTAAATTTTTTTAAGAAAAATAACTAAATTATGTTTGCAGACATAATTTCACATAACTCATCCTACATGAAACCAATTTAAAGAAATTGTGCTAAAGTTGAAACCAATTTTTTTTAACTCGTATGAGTTTTTTTATAAATTAAAGTCAAGATTTTGTTTTAAACATAAAACTAATTAATTATTTATATAAATATAATATTTTAAAATTAATTATTTTTCATTTAATTAGGTTATATTATTAATTTGAAAAAAAATAAAAATATTGAGAGAAGTAGACCAAAAACTAATTTAAATTAATAAATAATACAAATTTAATATAAAATTATTTTAAATTAAATAATACAAATTTATTGTCAATATGGATATTTTCCACGGTAATGTCTTTCCTTTCTATAAAATGAACATTTGTTTATTTATTTGTAATTGGTTGATCAATTTCATTCTAAATGTGAGTAAGTGTAGATCTCTCTAATGTCTCTCAACATATATTAAGATAAAAAAAACAAAATTTGAACCTATATAGACAAACCAGTAATCTTTATTTTAAACTAAATGGAATTGAAATTATACACCTTATAGATGCTTTATAATTTGTAGATGAGATCCACAAATACAACCAATTATAAATGACAAGACGAATAATAGACAACAATAACATGAGAACAAAAAAGTCAAAGAGTTTTTAATTCCCTACAATCACACTAGATTTGATTTAATCTAATTGTGTAGCTTATTGATCCTAGAAAATATTGAGAATTTGATTGATCTTGTAAATCAAACTCATAATGTTTTCGATTGTATATTTGAACATGACACATTTGAGCACATTGTTCATTTTCTGTAAACAGTATCGTAATATCTTCTGGATACTTGTGTCTAACTCGTAATATATGCTTTGTTTCCATATCTCTTTCCACAAATCAAGATTTAGTTATTTCAAACGTGATTTTAACTAAGACACATGTAGGTAAGATTTGTGTTCCTTTAAGAATATAATTCATGCACTCAACAAGATTTGTTATCTGTGTTCATATTGTTTGTCTCCATCATAAGCTTGGATTTATTTTTTCAATGAAATCTCATATAATCAAGACATTTGTTGTTTAAACTCATACCTTAAAGCGAGATGGTTTTGCTACAAGTGTTGATTGTTTCATTTCATATCTTGCAAAGAAAAATATAATTTCATGTTATATAAAAAAATAATTTTTTAAGGTTAAAAGATGTTACATAGGTTGATGACTAATTTTTAAAAATTAACATTTTAAATTTTTTTGTTAAAGTTTGAGTCAATATGACGAATACACACCACAAGAAATTTTCCAATTAGTTACAAAAATTTGCTACAAAATTTATTTTTAGCTAAGTTGTAGCTAATTAGCTATGGAATAGTAAAGGAATAAAATTGTAGTTAATATGTAGTAAAATAGCTAGAAGATAATATTTTTGTAGTTATTCCCTCACTTAATAGAAAAATAATTTAGTTAGGGAAAATTTTTGTCACTAATCCCTAGTTATAAATATTAACTATGTTATTTTTTAAAGCTATTTCTTAGCTAAATTATATAACATATAATCATAGTTAAATTGTAGCACATTTATAGCAAAAAAATAATTATAAAATTATTTAAAAATTATTTTTACCAAATTTATTATAAATATATTAATTATATATATATATATATAAATAAATTATTTGAAAATAATTATAATTTTTTGAAAAAATATCTAAAAAAATTGATAAATATTTAAAATTATTTTTTGGAAATTTTTTTTATAAATTTAAATTTGTAGGAAGTATTTAATAATTTAAATTAATAGAAAATTTTATAAATAAATTTTTTATAATTTTTTTAGAAATTAGTCTTTATAAAAAAATTATTATATTAAAATATTTATTTAATTAAATATTATTTTAAATATATACATCTTTAATATAATAATAAAAATATTTTTTAAAAATGATAACAATTTTATAATTTTTTAATAAAAATATTAAATTAATCTTTTTTCCAAAAATTCCCTTCCCCTTTACCTACGTCTCTTTCTTTCATTTTAAACAGACCTAGACTGCATTTGTTACCGCTACCGCTGCTCCCGTTGTCGCCGCTCCCGCTGCCGCTGCCGCCGCCGCTGTCGCCGCTGCCGCCGCTCCTGCTACCGCATTGTTGTCGTGCCGTTGCCACTGCCTACAGCGCCACTGTCGGTACATGTGTTTTATGAAATCTTATGTATTTTATGTAAACTTCAATTTGTGTTTTGATTTGTTAGTGACTTTCTATGGTAAAAGAACAGTTAATCGTAGTAGTAGTTAGTTGTGCCTTCTTCTGATTCTATTTAGTAATTTCCAACTTCTGAGTATGTTCCCTATTGTCCAGCAATTAGGTTTCATGTAACCTAGCAACAACGATAGGGTTTATTTGTTCCTTGAGTATTTTTATTTGATTTGATTTACTATGTACCTCTCTTACGGTGGGTTACTCACTGTAATTATCATGGTTAATTAAATTTATTTAATCCAATTTAAATTTTCAATTACAATTCACGAGCAGAGGGGGTTTGCTTAGTGAAATTTCCTCTGCGTCTTTCTTTTTGATAGAATTCAGCATATTTTATAATGGTAATTTCCTCTGTGAATTTGTTGTTGCTCGCGTACCTATAATTGAGAACCAGAGGTAAGTCCTCGGGTCATATTAGTACTTATTGGCACATCGCATATTGTCATACTGTGTTTTATCTCTATGGTTGACCGACATGAAGTTCAATACTCGTGCAAATCAGATGGTGTTTTTAATGCTATATTCCACATTTGAGAAATGATCAAATTTTTGGGCTCTTTCTGCTCACTAAATTTTTCCATTGAATATGCTTTTCTCAATACATGAGAAAACAGAAACAGAGAAATTATGTATTCACTGTTAGCAGTTTTTAGGTGAAGTTAACAGTCCAAAACATGTTAGATGACTTCTCTTGTCAGTTGAAACTTAAGTATTTGTAATTACATTATTTTTGAATCTTCAGGGGAATGCAAAGGGGGAATATATATATATATATATATATATATATATATATATATATATATATATAACATAGTATGATAATCTTACATTTCATTATTTGAATGACATGATTTGACTTTGATATGACTTGGCTATGACTTGACTATGGATCTCATAAATTATGATACATGGATGAATCAATGCAATTCCATATCACCAATGCAAAAGAAAAGGAACGAGCACTATTAAACACATCCTATTTGATTGTATTTAGCTGTATCGTTGCTGCTTTAAGTCTTATAAAATAAAGGCTTCAAACACTGAGTTATAACTCATTATTCTGTTATGTGAAACTTTTGGTCATTTTCTAGTTTAAAATTATTTCATTGAGCAATATTCGTTATTTAGATGATATATCTAAGTCATTCTTTGTTATATCACTAAATTTTACAATTTCATAGAGTTTATGAATCAATCAAATGACAACAAAAGCATATTTCACTAGGTGAGGTTGGCTATTGGATTACAAAATGTCATTCAACTCTGTTTAAGATTTTTTTTTTTAGAATATCGTTTACCATGAGATCCTCTCAATAGTTTTCTCCAATGTCCTTCTTGTCTCACACATTTGCTTTTCACAGGACTAAAAACTGTGTAATCTACTTTCCTCACTATAAGTTATTTTCTGATTTGCAAATTAATGAGTTGATGCCAGATTTTGATGTTTATCTTTCAAATAGCCGGTTTAGAAAGTCTTCCTCTCGTGATCCAAGTTTTCTACTATACTTATCTAGGTAATAACTATGTCTCTCATTGCATCAGTATGATTACTTTAGATTCTGAAATTTCATTGGTAAGTGATCTTTGTATCAGAGGAATTCACACTAGCAGACACGCTGCTTCATTGCGTGGCAGTGTGTGTTCGGGTTGGGGGGTTGTAAGGTGTGACCATGTTATTTCTCACAGTAAACACTAAAAATTGATAAAGGCATTGTGACTGTCTGTTCTCTTATAATGAAAATAGGAAAATGCAATTTCATACGTACATATATCTGTTTTTTGTTAGATATACTTCAATACATCCATGAGAAGTTGATAGCCATTTGAGACTTGGATGAATAGTTCTAATTTTTGTGGGAACAAGTGTGAGCAAGTAGCCGTTGTAGGTATTTATCAATTATGGTTATTTATTTTTAAAAATTAACTTAAAATATTGACATTGATTATTTACCTCTTACTGATTCTCAAATTTAGAAGAAATAATATTCTACTTTATTGTATCAATTATGAGGTCATTAGACCTATCAATACATGAGTCTGTCGGTTATTTTAAGAAATATGGACTGCCAATTCTAAGGAGACAAATCCCTATGATTATGGGATTGTTTCTAAATACATAAACCTAGTATTAATTAGTAAAATTAGACTGTAATAAAGAATAGAATAGCGCAAGGAGAAAAATACAAAACTTAATGACTAATATGGTTTTGACACAAATTAATAGCTATGCAAAATTGTCCTTAGTTCTAGTTTCTTTTCTGCCCTCTTTTTTATTATCTGTTATTGGAAATCTATTACTCATTTATAACATGTATCTTCTGTTAGGGGTCATCCATCATCTAAAGTAGAGATTGAATCTCTTGAGAAACAATGTGGTGGCATTCCTTTGAAAATCTGCCAGGTCACAGAGGGAAGGGTCAGTTTCTTTTCCTATGACAAGGTGGAACTTCCTGTTCAACCCTGAAAGTCTGGTACCAATCCTACGTTTTCACTCTGAGCTGGTGGCAAAGAAAACTTAAGAGAGAATGGGTTATTGTAAACTTGTAGCTTATAGGATCTGGTGATGTGCGAGAAAGATGCAGAATGGGCTCAGTGACACACAACCAGTACTTGGCTCTAGCCAAACTGATCATGATTTTGATGTGGGAGCATGTTATTGTTGACCATAGCAAGAATATGAAGGCATTGGCTTAGTAATTCATGCCCCAGTTTACACATAGATTAGTATTGTGTAGGATAGATGATGTATTATAACTAGAGGATTTGTGACTAGAGTATCAAATAGGAAATTGTTTGTCATTCAATTTATTATTATAATTTTCATTTTAACTAACATAAAATCTTATCTGCTTTCTGTAGTGGTTTTAGAAGATTTGAAACCCATAGTCACTGATGTTGTGCTTTGGTTTGTCATGTAATTGGTAAACTATAGATGAATTCGATATGCGAAGGTGGTTGATATTTGCATTGTTGAGGGTTCATGATTCTGAATATATGGTTTCATTTGATGCACACATCAATATTTTGGTTTTACCTTAAAGTTGATTACGATGTAATTCCGAAGTTCGAATAACTTTTTTTGATTTTTTTTATATGATATTTTTGAATTAAAAGGTTTTATGTGGTATCAATACAATTTTAAAAATTAAGTTCTTGTATGTCGACGACAACTAATTTGTGGATGCTTGTAATCATCTTCAAAAAGGTTGCATTATTGAAAGTTGTAGGAACATATTTCTAAAACCTCATTATAGAGAATGCATTAAACAATTGACTTAGGACATGAGCACATAATTACGTGTATTGATGTCATATAAAGATTTTGGATCCAAGGTTATTAACTCACGATTCTGAGTTATCCACCAGTTTACGTATCGTCACAAGGATATAAAGTTTGTCTTTTTTTTTTTTAGAATATGAGTAATAATTTATCTTAAATATTTGATATTATAAATTTTGATAAAAATTGTGAGGGATTAGTTATGAAATAGCGAGAGAAACATTGCAAAGGATTAACTACAGATTAGCGAGGAAATAATTGCGAGGCATTAACCACATATTAGCTAGAGATAAATTGTCAGGGATTAGCTACAGATTAGCGAGAGAAAAATTGCGAGGGATTAGTTACAGATTAACGAGAGAAAAATTGCGAGGGATTAACTACGAATTAGCGAGAGTAAAATTGCGAGGGATTAGCGAGAGAAAAATTGCGAGGGATTAGCTACGGATTAGCGAGAGCGAAATTGCGAGGGATTAGCTACGGATTAACTACAAGTTTTGGGAGATCAAATTAGCTAGAGATAAACAAAATTTGATCATTTAAATTAACGAGGAATTTAGCGACAGTTTAGCGACAAAATTTGCTACAAGTTTGAGAGAGAATACATTTGTATCTAATTAGCTACTTGGATTTAGCTACGAACTATTTCATAGTTATTCCGTAGCTAATCTGTAGCAAAATATACCAGCGAGAGATTAACTATAAAATAGCTACGGAATATAGCATAACTAATATGTAAAATTCTTGTAGTGACAGTATACTAAGGTTAAATCATTCTAATCAAGACTTTCATATTGTAAAACTGACAATATTCATGTCTCTTTGTTTGTTATCATGCATACATTATTTTGAGGTGTGACATAATGCCTTAAAAGTTAGAAAAACCATATCAATGTCTATTTTGTCTCACCTTCAACTATTGCAAATACAAGTGATATGTTTCGATTGTCATCTTATGTAGTTACAATCAATAACGTAACATATTTTCTGTTAGAAATGTGTTGGCAACTTGAATAATTGACTTGTAATATTTAAAATTATACATAACTTAAATGACTAGAAGATACGCTTTAATATAAATGATGGACTATGGGTACCATGCATTGAATAAGGAGAACATATGATTGAACAATTGTGTCAAAATTACTACTATCTTCAACAATTTGCAACCAACCACCTTGGAAGATCATTTTATGACTCATCTCAGTCTTTAAATGCCACAATATACGCCTTTTGTTTTGCTATCCATGTTTTTTTGTAAGTGACCATATAACCATGTTGGTGATTTACTTTTACAATCAGAGTTTTGATAGGAACAAAGGATTTTTTTTTTAAATATTCATAAATAATATTAACAATGATAGTAGAGTTTAAGTTTTGATTATCTAAATTTAATATTGACACCCGTTGTCATAATTTATATAATTTATAATATATTTGTTAGCTTTAGACTCAACAATATAAAATTTGTATCTCTCATCAGTATTAAATTGTTTGATTACACTTATGATTGTCTATATTTATGAAAAATATTTGTCTTCCCATATGTTGTTTTAAACTATATTTATTAATTGGTTGGACGATTGTTCATGATGTAGTACAACATCATCATTCACTTACATTAGACTAGAGACAAAATTATTTTATTTTTTTGCCAATAAACTCTTTGACAATATCTTGAATGGTTAGGGAATACAAGTGTGAGAGTCTAAGTCTCATTTTATGTAAGAATAAGAAAGTTATAAACCCTAAACTCTAAACTCTAACATGCATAGCTACATTGTAGTATGTTATTCATCATAAAGATGTGACCCGATGTAAAATATGCAACAAACTCGTGAAAAAATTAAATTAGACCTAAAATTGTGCAACCACATATGAGTTTAGTGTAAATCCAAAAGTTAATGAAGTCGTGCTAGTAAACACAAGTTCAATACATGCAAAATCGTGCAACCAAGCATGATTTCCAACAAACTCGTGCAACCAAATACTTTTTAACCAAGTCATGCAACCAAGCACGCTTTCAAGGCAAAATCATTTAACTAAGAACGATTTTGATCCAATTAAACTCGTGCAAGGAAATATGATTTCAATCCAAGCCAAACTCGCCTATACAAGCATCATTTTAACATACCACGCCTTTTGCTCAGACATGCAGTGGGTGCGTGGTGCTTAAAATGAGTACAACAAGAATCCTTGTGTTGAGTGATCAAAGATGGAGCATTAAGAGCATTTATTCAAGAAATTCAATCCATTTGTGCCTATTGATGCAATGTGTCATACCCATAAATATAGAGTATGGATTTATTTTCATCATACTCTTCTTATAATTTGTGTTTTCATAAGTATTTTGTCTGACGTTTCCTTTTGTTCTCATTTTAGGGTGAGATAATTATTAATTTATTTTTTTTTATTTATATTTATAGACATACACATGCATAATTATTCTCTTTTATTTGTCTTTTTCATTTCTCTAGCATTTTCATTCATTGTATGTCTATAAGCACTCACAACATTTTTCTCTTTAATTTTATTCATGTTGCTTTTATTTACTTGTTTTTGTCTCTTTAATTTCATTTGTGTCTATTTTATTTACAAATACTTTTCTCTCTTTAATTTTATTTATGTTTATTTAAATTTTATCTTTTATTTATGTCTCTTTATTTTTAATTGTGTCTTTAATTTATGTCTCCTTTATTTATATATATTATTTTCTTTAGTTTTATTCATGTCTCTTTTATTTACTTATTTTTTTCTCTTTGATTTTATTATATCTCTTTTATTTACATATATTATTTTTTTCTTTAATTTTATTCATGTCTCTTTATTTTTCTCTTTTATTTACATATACTCTTTCTCTCTTTAATTTTATTCATGTTTATTTAATTTTTCTCTTTTATTTATGTATCTTTATTTTTATTTGTCTCTTTAAGTTATGTCATCTTTATTCACATTTTTTTTCTCTTTAATTTTATTACATATTTTTCTTTTCTTAATTTTATTTATGACTCTTTTATTTACATATTTTTTTAATCTTTTATCATCTTTCTTCATGTATGTTATTGTTACACCTTTAAGACAAACATATAACAAACACATTATAGGAAAGAAATGAAATATTATTTCATCTCTGCGACATAATATGTTGATAACAAAATATGTTAGATGATCTTGTTAAAAATTTGATATAGAAAGCACGTTTTGGACAACTGTTAACTATTGCAACTGTCGATTTGAATAATCATTTGATGATAACATTAGTTGAAAGGTAAAGAACAAAAATCTACACCTCTCATTTTCCAAGGCACAATAACTTTAGAATATGTGACCTTGCCACTAGGTTTTTTCATTGATGCACTAGTGAAAAAAATGCATTCAACAACTACTTATTATGACGATTGTAAGAAAACTGTCATAATAAGTGAAACAGTGATATTTTTGTAATATTAAAAATACTTATTATGTCGATTGTAAGAATAACCGACATAGTAAGTCACTTACTATGTTGGGTATAATAAGAACAAACATAATAAGTTTTTTGGTGATATTTCTATAATATTGGACATAAAGCTTACTATGTCGGGTATAATGAGAACAAACATAGTAAGTTCTTCGGTGACATTTTTGTAATATTAGACATAAAATTTACTATATCGGTTATACAATAAACCGACATAGTAAGTCACTTACTATGTCGGGTATAGTGAGAATAGACTTAGTAAGTTCTTCAGTGACATTTTTGTAATATTAGACATAAAACTTACTATGTTGGTTATACTTTGACCCGACATAGTAAGTAACTTATTATGTCTATTTTTTTCTAACTGACATAGTAAGTTTTTAGGGTTTCACATTTAGGTTTGATCATTGCGTGTTGTGTTGTCTTCTTCTTCATCTTCCCACAGTCTCTTCATCCTCCTCCACACTGCATAGTTTTATCTTCACTATTGTCGACCTCCATTGCCTGTGTTCGAGTTACAATTCTCCATCGTGTTGTACTTTCTTCTTCTTCCCCTTCCCACGGTATGATAATCTTCTTCCACACTGCACAGTTCGCTTTTCATTATCATCAACGCGCATTGCCTTTGTTCGAATTCTAATTTTCCTTCCTTTGTTTAAGTTCTTCATCTTATTTCTCTATTGTCTCTCCTTCCATTTTTGCACCTATTAACAATTTCAAATTTCATGGACGAGTTTTTATTTTTGGTTTAAAATTTGATTTCATTGTTGAAAATATGTCTATGATGATGATAAATATGGAGTAATAGAATGTGATAGGTTTTTGAAAAAGCTTTGTTGGTGTTCGCGAGACAGTGATAATGCTGAATATTCTCAATTGGAGACATCTCTAGGGAACACATCCTAAAGGATCAAGTAAGAAATTTTTTTATTTCCAAGTTTATTCATTTATATTTAGCTTTTATTTTTCTTTATTTGAAGGTTAGGATTTTAATGATTGAAACTAGAGGAATTAGGTCAAAGAAAAAGGGACTTTCTAGAAATTGTGAGTTGTAGGTATGGATATTGGAATAGTGTTCAAAATCTTCTAAGCGTTTGAATGTTAATTTCTGTAAAGGCCTAAGAGACTATTGAATGGATTTTGTATCAATGGAAAATATATTTACTTAATTTGATTAGATCCAAGTAGTTAAATATCATTTTCTCTGTATTGGAACCGTACTTGACAATGCCAAATCCATAGTTTAGGATTTTGAATGGAACAATAGGTTGTGGTAGAAATGTGCATGAAAATTGTTTCAGTTTAACTGAGTTATATATACAAGGTTTAGAATGGAAGCAAAACAAAAATTTGAGTCCATTGAAGAAGGGCATGTTTTAAATTGCTCCCTTCATTTTAATTTCTGTTTGAAGGTGGGGACCTCTTTTTTGCCCCCTCACTACTACTAAGGTGGTTTTCTTTTTGACTTTTTCTAAAGGTTTTTTAACCTTCCGTAGCTCATTAGAAGCTAGTGGAGGTGGAATTTTTTTATCATTGTATGAGTGAACTACTAAATTGGAAGAGGTGGACTTTGACCACCCGCCAAATTGTGTTGGGATGGTATCTTTTTCATCTTGTTGGGAGTGTTTTATTACTAATCTTTTGTAAGCAACCCTTGTTGTGTTCTAGACTCAAAGTGCAAAATTTCCTTATGGAAAGTTTCAATAATTACTAGTGTTGTTTGTATTTGTTTATGTTCATAATTTCTAATTGTTAATGAAAAGTTAAAAGCAAAGTATGTTGTTTTACTTGCTTGATAAGATCAAATCAAAACTCCCCAAGATGGGTAAATAAAAAATAGTATTAAACTCTTTTAGGTTCCACTTGGTCGAGGCGAAGTTGAAAAAACAATTTTGGACTTATATTTTGGATATGTTGGAACGATCGAGACAATATCTTAACATTGGAAAACATTTGAAACCTCCATAATTAACACTCAACACCATTTAAAAGTTTAAAATTGAGTATATTATTTTGTAACTTTAAAAATGAAAAAAATTACTAATACCTAGGTGTCAGTGAAATAGAAGAGGTTAGATTCTGTTAATGAATTTTTTATTTTTAAGTTTAAAGTGTTTTACATTGCTTACATTTTGTAATCTGAAACCATATAGAATGATATTGTTCTCTCTCTTGCTTCATTTTTCACTCAACTGACATTTTATAATTTTTTTTATAAAGGAAACTCCAAAGCCTTTCCCTCTTCCAGCTGAAGTGACTATTGTAAAAGCTGCATCTAGATGGGCACATTGTCTTTCTATGATTGGTAAGATTCATTTACTTATCTTGTTTGCCAAGAAAGAAACACTATACGATGTGATTGTGAAAGGAAGACATAAATTAAAGTTGAATTTTGTCCTCTTTGGATAATTTATCCAATACTAAGTTAAGTTAATTTCCACAAATAATTAATCCAAAACGAATCCAATAAATTGTCTGTCCAAAAAACATATTTTCTTACTTCTATCATCCTACATACTTGTTTTGTTGTTCCAATACAGATTGTGGAGAAGTTTACAAGTGGGGATGGAGGGAATGTGTTCCCTCTAGGAAGGTATTTGATGAATCATTAACTGGGGTAAGCTCTGAAAAGGATGTATCGGGAAGGCAAACCTCATTCTTGACAGAGCAAGGTATGTTTGACCTCTTTACAGTGGTCATTTCTCCACGACTATTGTTCCTTTTAAGAGGTGATCGAAGGTAGTAACAATGTATTTGAATAAGAGTAACATATAAGAACTATTATGACATAGGATAGTGTTTGAAAACTGAAGAAAAATTATTATAACATGAATCCTCTAAAATTATTAAACTGGAGAGAAATCCTCTAAAATGTTTTTTTCTAAAAATTAATAACACACATCTAGTTGATGTTGCAGAACTTATTCATGGATCTAAGTTGGATCAATCTTAGACGTACAACTGATGAATATGAGAATGGAGAAGAACAATTTCTTGAATGAGTGAAGACAAAATGTTTGAATGTTCCATATAATAATGGAAGATTCTATTGCCCTTATGTTAATTGTTTGAATGAGCGAAGATTACCGATAGAAATTATACGTGAGCATGTCCTATATGATGGTTTCCTAAAGAGTTACAAAAAGTGGACATGATATGGTGAATTAATAGACATGTCAAATGTACATGTATCTGAAACAGAAATTGATGTAAAGATGGATGATCAACTTGAATAAATGATTCATGATGTTGGACATGATGCGTTCCAACATCCACATATGTATGATAATTTGTGCAATGATGCAGAGAAATATATATATATATATATATATATATTGTTGGAAAAACAATAACAATACTAATAATCCTGATTTTGATTCTAACAATCAAACATAAACATAATCCCATACTGATAAACATGCTGTAAACTGAATGCGAAAGCGTACCTGAATTAGCCATAACGATGATGTCTTTGTAGAGCACTATATTGATCTTATGGTCTTCCACCTGAAGAGCACCTGTATTTCCCTCTTGATTTTCTCTCTTGATGGGGATAGAAAGAAAGGAACGGGACTGATACTTACGTTCTGTGTGTGTGCTCTTAGAAGGGGACCATGACCCTTTAGATAACCAGAATTAGGTTAATTACTTAAGTTTTAGTATTTCCAATTTGGCCCCTCATCAAATTAGAAATTGCTCTATAGTCTCTACACAATTTTATTTTCATGACATATGCTTTTAGCCAAAACTTTAATTTAGTTAGATCACTTTATTATTTGGCTTAATAAATAATGACCCTAACACATTTAAATATGTATCATATACATACATGACCCAAAATTTGCCAACAATCTCCCACTGGTCACAAATATATATGTCTTTACAACCTTACAAATGTGTTAGACTTTATGAGCTCAAAATTGTCATTATATTCCTTTAGCATATTCCAAAAGTCATGTCCATTAATCATATCAGGATATAGAACCAAACCAGCTTTTCATTGCATCATCGCAACTAAAACCAACAAGATTACTCATCCTAACATAACCAAATAACATGGATTCATCATGAAATGTGTAGCATGAAAAATTACGTGAAGGTGATCTGTACACGTCTATTTTCAACTGGTCCAAACTTTAACTTATCGAGATCGATACAATAACCTTAATGTACAAAGTGTAATGAATGAACAAGAAAACCGCATATCTATAGATAACCAAATATGTCCAAAAAACAATGTATACATATATAAAATTAAACATAGAACATAAAATATATGAAAATGACTAACTCCCACTAAACCACAAATTCCTCAAACTGTAAAACACCCATGTGAGCAACATGCTCATGAAAGACCTTGGGCGAAAGTCCTTTAGTTAGAGGATATGTTATCATGGAGTTTGTCCTTAAGTGTTCTATGGAAATCTGTCCACTTTGTACTCTTTCCTTAACAATACAGCTGATTTATTGTCACAATATAACTTAAGTGGTCTTTCAATACCTTTCACAATTTGCAGTCCAGTGACAAAATTTCTCAGCCATATTCCATGATTTGATGCATCATAGCATGCTACAAATTCTTGACATCCTGCAAAATATAAGTCAGAAAATCCAGCGATCTCCAACTGGTCTGACCTCCTATTGTGAGCATATAATCTTTTGTTCTCTTTAAATATCTTATGACCTTTTTTGCTGCTTTTCAATGGTCTATTCCTGGATTGTTTAAATATCTTCCTAGAACCCCAACTATATATTCTATGTCTAAATGCATACATACTTGGGCATAGATCAAACTCCCTACAACTGATGCATAGGGAATCTTTTGCATTTCCTCAATTTCCAAATTCCCTTTGGGCACTGATTGAAACTAAACTTGTCTCCCTTTAAACTTGTGATACATATAATCATCAACAATATTCATCTTGAAGCCAAATGAGTTTCATACCTTCTGGTAATGGGACAAGTTCCCAATAACCTTATTGTCTTGCATGGACTTATACTTATCCTATTGCTTCAATCCACTTTTGAGATTTAGAACCTTATATAGCTTGACGGAAGTTAACTGGGTCATCTTCCATTATATCATTATTTTCCTCATGTTCCTGAAGAAATACCATGTAATCATCCGAAATAGCACTTCTTCTTTCTCTAGTGGATCTCTGCAAAGTTATTAGCTCATGATGCACAGGTTCTTGAGGATCTTGAGTTTGTTCTTCATGAACAACCAAATCATCTTGAGTGAGGGGTTCATCAACAATGCCCTGTGGAGGTTCCGAACTTACTTTATCAAAAGTAACTATTTGAATCGGTTCTGAAATTGTTACCGATTCTTCCTCCAAGATGAAGTTCTTAATCTTATTCTTCCCCCCAAACTCAATATCCTCAAAGAACGTAGCAGTTCCCGTCTCAAAAAATTGTCTTTAATATGGGATCATAATATTTATATCCCCTGGATCTTTCAGCATAACCAATAAAATAACTACTTACTATTCAGGAGTCCAATTTCTTTTCATTTGGCTTATAAGGCCTTGCCTCAGCTGGACAATCCCACACATGGAAATGCTTCAAACTAGGTTGTCGCCCAGTCCAAAGCTCATAAGGTGTTTTGGTAGCTGTTTTAGTTGGTACTCTGTTTAGAATATAAGTTGTCATATTTAGCGTCTCTCCCCAAAGTGATTCCAGTAAGGTGGAATGACAAATCATACTCTCTACCATATCTTTAAGAGTGTAACACAAGCCCAAACGTTACAATTTGATGTTACCTGAGCACTTGTGCCATAATGCACTTGAGTGAGTATTTTCAATTTTATGTTTAGTACCACATGATTCTGTATTAAGGTTTTCATTATAGGTGGCCACAATATCAAGTAAATACTGATTATCATAAATTAAAAGTGAACCAGTTCCAACAATATCTGAATTAAAAGACAAACTGAACTTATTGTTTCCAAATGAACATAAATAACCTAATTTGTCCAAATAAGAAACTGAAACCAAATTCCGTCTAAATGACGGCATAACAAAAGTGTCTTTCAAATCCAAATAAAAAATTAGTACTTAATAATAATTTAAAATGACTTATAGCTTCCACCTCTACCGATTTGCCATCTCCAACATAAATCCATCTTTCAGAATCAATTGGCTTCCGGTAGTTTAGGCAACCCTTTCTTTTCACGCCAAGTATGATATTTAACACATTTCTTCTTTACGTGTCCAGTCTTATTGCAAAAGAAATATTTGTTTTCTTGAATTTGTTTCTTTTGTTCTGGACCCTTAGCACCTTCTTTCTCGAGATCCTCTGATCTCTTTCTTTTGCCCTTAGCCTTGGAGGTGCTTGCAAAAAATGAGCACTTTCTGTCTTGTCTTGCTTTAGTCTTTCTTCATCTTGTACGCAATGTGAAATGAGCTCATTAAGAGACAATTTATCCTTCTGACAGTTGTAAGATACCTTAAATTGATTAAACATTGCAAGAAGAGAAATCAGCATCAAATGAATGAGCAAGTCTTCTGAGAGTTCAAGTTTTAGTGCCTTGAGTTTAAAAACAATATTAGACATGCTCATAATGTATTCCCTGATATTTCCTTTGCCTTGATATATCATGGAGATCAAGTTCTGAAGAAGAGTGTTTGTCTCCGCCTTATCGCTTTTTGCAAAGCGCTGCTCAATTTCAGCAAGGAATTCTTTGGCACTTGTGATGTTTTCAGAAACAGTGCCCCTAAACACCTCCGGGATGCCACGCTTAATGATTATTAGACTCATGCGATTTGAGCGATCCCACCTCTCATAATCTCTTTTCTGTTCAGAGGTACTTGAATCCGTAAGAGTAGGGGTTTGCTTAGTCCTTAATGCAAAATCCATATCCATGCAACCAAGAACAATATCAATGTTCTCTTTCCAGTCCTTAAAATTTGTTCCATTGAGGATCGGAACAGAATTTAAATTGGCAGATATAGAAGCAATTGAGCTGAATTTAGAACACGAGAAATAAACTAATTATGCTCACATTATATAAAAAATAAATAATATATATTCAAATAGTGGTTTAACCCATCTCAAGATACCCAATGCACCATCAATATCAAGTCTTTGGACAGTAATATTAACTGCTAGAGGTATCTTGTTGTAATAATCAAACATTGACAATAAAGCACGTCCAACAACAAACCAGTATTTGGATTGATTTATCATCGACAAAGCAAATCCTTATAATTATCACATGTTTATCATTACAAGTGTGTATGCAATTCGGCCAAATATTAATCTTCCTTTGGGTCGACTAATACTCGCATGAATATACACAAACACTAACATTCAATATTTTTTATGAACTGCCCAATTCAAGAGAAGTTACTTTGGTGACTTCTTGACTCAATTTGCTCACAAAAAATATTAAACTACCAAAAATTGAATATTTTATTTATATAACAAAACCAAATATTTAATATTTGCAAACTAATTCAAAAGAGAATAATCTCATCAGAATTCTACTAAGGATGAACACCTCCCTAGAATCTCATTAGGGATGAACACCTCATTTGAACAAATCAAAGGATGAAAAAAGACCTCATTTTCCACCAATACATAAAGGATGAACATCTTCCTAAAATCACACTAGGGATGAAACGAGAGATAGTTCGAGTCTCTTTAACATACTGCTCTAAACCCTAAAAG